TGAGATTAGGAGTCTCTTATGGTATGTCTCCCTCTCTGGTTTCATCTTGTTTCATTTTTCCCTCCCTTCCCCTGTGATCCTTTGTCTTGTTTCTCAAATTCCTCATATCAGTGAGATCATATGATACTTGTCTTTCTCTGATTGACTTATTTCGCTTAGCATAATACCCTCTAGTTCCATCCATGTCATTGCAAATGGCAAGATTTCATGGGATTTTTTTTTTGATGGCCACATAATATTCCATTGTGTATATATACCCCATCTTCTTTATCCATTCATCTGTTGATGGACATCTAGGCTCTTTCCGTAGTTTGGCTATTGTGGACATTGCTGCTATAAACATTGGGGTGCATGTGCCCCTTCGGATTACCACATTTGTATCTTTGGGGTAAATACCCAGTAGTGCAATTGCTGGGTCGTCTGGTAGCTCTATTTTCAACTTTTTGAGGAACCTCCATGCTGTTTTCCAGAGTGGCTGCACCAGCTTGCATTCCCACCAACAGTGTAGGAGGGTTCCCCTTTCTCCGCATCCTCGCCAACATCTGTCGTTTCCTGACTTGTTAATTTTAGCCCTTCTGACTGGTGTGAGGTGGTATCTCATGGAGGTTTTGATTTGGATTTTCCTGATGCCGAGCGATGTTGAGTACTTTTTCATGTGTCTGTTGGCCATTTGGATGTTTTCTTTGCAGAAATGTCTGTTCATGTCTTCTGTGCATTTCTTGATTGGATTATTTGTTCTTGGGGTGTTGAGGGGAGAGAGAGAGAGTCTTAAGCAGACTCCGTGCTGCACATGGAGCCCAATGCAGCACTTGATCTCACAACTCTGAGATCAAGACCTGAGTGGAAATCAAGAGTTGGATGCTTAACCGACTGCGCCACCCAGCTCCCCAAGAGTTTATGGGGGTTTCTTAAATGATGAAGAAGGTAAGAACTGGCTGGTCGAACTTCACTGAGGAGAAGACGACATAATTAAACAAACACAAAGGTGGGGCAGTTGTAAAATAAATCAAATTGAAACAGTAGGTTCTGTTTTCCAAAAGGTTGTATTTAAAGTGAGTAGAAAGAATCAAACTGTTTCTGTCATTCAGTCGGTAATACCAGGGAACCAAATCTGTTTTCCTCATTAGGTCATTAGCTCACAGAGCTGTTATTATCAAGCCCCTTCTGATTAGGAAGTGTTTTCAAAGATGCACATTCAGTCAGGGTCCCATTATTTGCAGGAGTGGCCTGGTGGTTTCCAGCGGGGTTCTGAGCTCCGCAACCTTGTGGAGCAGAGTTGCCATTATTTGAGCATCATCTGGCTTGTGGAGTGTTTGGATGTGGGGAAGTGGTAGGATGGGGAGCATACTTACTAGGATTTTTAAGTTCCTTTGCCTAGCCAAAAACTTCCACTTATCGGATGCTCTATTTTGTTGCATTTAAATAACTCACTGACAATTTCGAATCCAAAAATGCTGACACCTGTGTGGACACACATAGACTCCTGTCATGTGCTCATTGAGCCCATTTTGTTGTCCTGCTTGCCTATTGCCTAGTCACAGATCTGTGATGCGCTCCTCAGTACTGATCGTGAAGTGGCTGGCCAGGGCTCTCAAACTGTCTGAGACCTTACCCCCTGGAGAAAGAAACACTAACTGGAGAGCCTGAAAACACGTCATTTCAGTTTGGCTTTCTGCTATCATTCACAGAGCCTTTTCACATCTTGTCATTGTCTCCCTCTCTGTACAAGGAGGTGTAGTAGTTACTATGAGACAGCGAGTGAGTGTTCAAGATGGTTAGATCCTTGGGCGGAAGGTACACCCGGAGCTGACTCTCCAGTGTCACTGCTCACAACGCCCTCTGGGAGGGGCCTCTCTGCACTGGTTCACTCCTGTTATCCCTGTTACCCAAGAGGGAATGCCTCTTTTCAACTAGGATTTTTTGAATATGAAATACTTCAAGAGCTTACTTTGCAGTGGTATTTATAAAATGCTGCGTACACCTGGAGAGTTGCCAAATAGTATTGTTATGGTAATGCTTTCTTAAAAACTTGTTATAAATTTAGTAATAAGAAACTCAGAAAATCCTCTAATACTACCAGATACTAATACTAAATTAGAGCCTGCTGAATTCCTCATAGTGCTTAATATGACCACATAATCTAGATATTCAAGCTTTGTTATGATAATAGATGTCAGGGATTGCATGTTACCTCAAGTCTTATTTCAGGTTCAGAAAATATGGTGATTTACCTTCAAATATACAGAAAATTGAAACAGTTCCTTCAGATAATATCCTACCTTAATTAAAACAACTAACAATGACCTTTATACTGAGAAAGCATCAATCTTCAGTTTCTAATGGGAATTGAAATCTAAGAAAGGACTTGGAAGTATTTTCTGGGAAAAAATATTTTTAGGAAAATCTGGAAAATACAGCTTTTTTTAGAAAGGTCAAGTAAATATGACCATGTTTGCTATGCACTAATAATAATCACCTGACTTAAGAGAACTTCTTGGTGTGATACAAAGTACTAAATAACCAGTTTGATGGAATTTACAGTTACCTGTGGTTGTTTTTAGAACAATGTGAAGAGTCTGAAATTTAATTGCAGAATATTGACCTGGATTCACAAATTGCTGAGATGCATGATACCATTTGTCCTTATAAGTTCCAGGGTTGAATATACAAATAAAGCTTCTCATGTTGCATACAAGTCAATATTTTTGTAAAAAATTGCCTTTTGAGAGCCAAACCCCATACAAAAGCAACCTTTTACAAAATATTAACAAGGTTATAATACCAAACGTAGACAACCAGCACTGGAAATGTGTATTATAGTTCCTAAGAGGAAACAAACTGAATTGGTTGGGGAGTGGTCTTTGATATATGGGTAGACACCCTTATCACTGTAAATAACCTCTGAGGCTATTGTAATACAGTATAATGAGCAGCGATCAAAATGACTGTAAATCATCAATGAAAAGTCAAAGTATGTTCAGTATATTCTATTTAAGAAAACAAATAGGAAGCTTCTGGTTAAACAGTGTGGATTCAGTGCTTATATTTATCTCTCTTCCCTCCCAATAACCTAACCTCGTTAAATACTAGTCAAAGAATAAAAAAGGATATAAGGTGAGAGGTATTCATAAAATTTTAGGAGATAGAAAGCAAACGGATGGGGGGTAACTGTCAGGTTTGAGCTTTTCCTGTTCTGCTAAGTTCCATTGGGGAAATCCAAGAAGCAAGCCGATTGAAGATCCAGGAAGTGAGGGTACATGAAAACAGAGAGGTTGGTTCAAAGTCTACGTGGAGGGCTCTTACATCCCTGATGCACTTCATAACCCATATAGCCAGGCAGCCATCCCTTCTCTACTCTGGTAGAAGAGCTCCATTTATAGAGAAAAATGGAAAGGAGGGAATTATCAGAGAAATAATAAAAGTTTCCTAGAACTGATGTGTGTGCATTTTCTTAATTAAAAGTTTTGACCAAGTGCCCAGCACAGTGAATAAGCCACGACCCACACCAAGGCATGTCTTGAGATTTCATGAAAATGGGGATGAATAAAATTCCCTGAAGTCTTCTTGAAAGAGAAAAATTATATTTTGTAGAAAATATCTAACATCGGAATAGCAGCCGTTTCTCAGCAGCAACATTAGAAGCTGTGCACGATAGTGCTGAAATGCCGAGAGAAAATAATTCTGATCTAGAATTCTTTACCCACCCAAATGGTTGATCTAGTGTGAAGATAGAAAAATAAGTTTTTATATATGCAAGTTCTCACCAAATTCATCTTCCATGGTCACTTTTTCAAGAAAGTACCAGAAGATGTGTACCTTCCCAAAAGGGGAGGATGAGATCATGAACGGAGAAGATATGGGGTCCAGGCTTCTGGGTAGAAGGGAGGCGGAAGAGTTCCCGGGATGACCCCAGACACAACTCCTGGCTGGTGGCTCTGTGTCAGACCCAGTGGGAGGTCAAAGGGGGACAAGAGGGCTATCTCCCAGAATAAAATACATGTGACAAATGACCTGGTATGTGTAGCCAGGATGCAGCAGTAGAAATATCCCATTCGGAAATACATTGGTAAACAACAAAGGAAACAGATAGAAGAGTTAAAAATGATTGTCATGGAGGTGAGGAGAGAGAGAGAGAGAGCATGTTCACTGGTGCGTGAGCAGGGAGAGGGGCAAAGGAGAGGGAGCGAATCCTTGAGCAGACTCCCGGCTGAGTGCGGAGCCCATCATGGGGGTCTCACAGCCCGGAGATCATGACTTGAGCAGAAGATAAGAGTAGAACGCTTCGCAGACCGAGCCACACGGGCACCCCTGTGTTTTTAAAATAGGCCTTATAGTTACTTCTTGACTTTGAAAACTAAGTTCATATAATACTTCTAAGAAATTTTTAAAACGAATTTTAAAAGGTAGGGAAGCAAATAATAAGATTTTGTGTGGTTTTCTATCAAACACAATTATTTTTTTTAAAGATTTTATTAATGTGAGAGAGAGAACAAGAGAGAGCATGAGTGGGGGGTAGAGAGGGAGAAGCAGGCTCCCTGCTCTGTAGGGAGCCCAAACCACGGCTGGATCCAGGACCCTGGGATCATGACCTGAGCCAAAAGCAGATGCTTAACCGACTGTGCCACCCAGGCGCCCCTGTCAAACACAGTTATTAACAACAACAGCTCTGGGGTCTCCTCAGTTCGGTAGAAGACCTTATTCCATAGCAATATCTGGTAAGTAGCTACTCCCTTACATGTTTAAGAAAGGTATGTACGTTGTACCAGTTACGTTGGTGTCTTATTCCTGTTAATAGCTTTTTCTCCTTTATTAAATTTAATAACACAGCATCTTCATAGAAAAGCAGAAAAATGGCCTCGTGCCCTTTGAGATTTCATATCAACCAGGAGGAGTTTGTAGGACCATCTTTGCAATTCTTTCTGGCTTATAGGAGCATCTGTAAGAGTGAATGATGACCCAGAAAGCATCGTTCATCAATGAAACCTTCCTCTGTGTTGTAGGGTGGAGAGCACTGTTACTACCACGGCAGCATCCGAGGTGTCAAGGACTCCAGGGCAGCTCTGTCGACCTGCAATGGACTTCAGTACGTGCGAGTCTCATGTGGGAGAGTGAACTTGCTTTCAGCCGTGCAGTTTCCATCTTTTCTTTCCCAAATGTTTGTTGTAGGGACTCTGCTGTGCCAGTTGCACGTTAGGGACTGGATATGGAGTCATAAACAAGGAGGGCGTATTCTCCGCCGTCTTAACATTTAGAGTCTGCAGGAGATTCAGAGATTGAACAAGTGATTACAGAGATTAATACTGAATTGCGATTTTGGTAGGAACTGTGAAGGGATGGATCAGGGACTTACAGGGTGGCCAAACCTAGTCTAGAAAGGTTTCCCAAAGGTATACGCCAGAGGACATAGCAGTCAGGTGGTGTTGGCCACGGGAGGATGGCAGGGTCGGGGGTGCAAAGAGAGGAGCTCATACATTGGCTTCAAGGCAGGCTCTAGAAAAACCTCTCTAAGCACCTTTTAGACCCAAATAGTAACCCTCCATGTAAAGATCTGGTTGTGGCCATGTGATGAGAAAGGATATTGAAAATCTTATCTTCCTATATCTCTCAAAATTATATGCAACACAGAGTCATACTGCTTAATGGAAATTCACGATTGGCAGTCATAAATACGCTTCTGTTTGCCTCTTCAGATTCAGATGGTTTTAGATTATTCTAACGAGCAAAATACCTATTTTCGTATAGGTGATACTGGATTTGTGTAAGAAGAGATTTGTACTAGTTGGACATTGTCTTGGAATTATAATGTGACATACTGGAACTGTATGAATAGTCCTGTTCCAGATTCATCTTCTAATGTTTCCATTTTGTTTCAAAAATTAATTATAACATTTATAATTTATATGCTCGTGGTATACACTTTAACACCTTTTGTAGCTTATCTCTGTCTAATACAGTGCTGAGACCACAGTGGGATTCCATACAGATATATGAATTAGGTTTAGGGCAGTATAAAGATACTTGTTTAGATACACTGTTCATTTTTAAAGATGCAATGTGAAGCTCATTTGCTGGTTCTTCCTGTTTGCTGTATTTGTTAATTTCCTCCTCATGCGATTTCTTGTCTCATAGTGGTATGTTTGAAGATAATACCTTTGTATATATGATAGAACCACTGGAGCTGATTCACGATGAGGTAAGTCTGTGACCTCAGTTTCCTTATGGTGTTTTGTTCTTTTAGCATCTTTGCCTTTGAGCCATAAAGAACATAATGTGGATGTCAGTGTACATTTATATGTAGTACTGGTGTATTGAATTTAGAAATATGCAGGTTATGACCTGCTGCATTGGGGAACATAAGCCAGCTACACGGGCTTGGCAGGTGGCTCTGTCAGCATCCAAGCTCCCACGTTGGGGAAGTGAAATCCATGGTTCTTTTGATTGAAGGTGCAGTTTCAGTACACACGCACAAGGGAAGTAAAGTCACAGGATTTATTACCTACAGATTCCGGAATCTGGGGTGGGGAGCAGTAAGCCAGAGGAAGGCAGTCCTCCTTCCCAGGTCACTAGTGAGCAGGAGATAGAGAACAGGGTAGCAAGCACCTGTTACTTGAAAGGTGGTTGGAGTGGAGTTCCCTAACTTTTAGTGGGCTTAATTCTTTTATTTTTTATTATGTTATGTTAGTCACCATACATTACATCATTAGTTTTTGATGTAGTGTTCCATGATTCATTGTTTGCATATAACACCCAGTGCTCCATGCAGTACGTGCCCTCTTTAATACCCATCACAGGGCTAACCCATCTCCCACCCTCCTCCCCTCTAAAACCCTCAGTTTGTTTCTCAGAGTCCATAGTCTCTCATGGTTCATCTCCCCCTCCGATTTCTCCCCCTTCATTTTTCCCTTTCTACTATCTTCTTCTTCTTTTTCTTCTTTTTAACATATAATGTATTATTTGTTTCAGAGGTATAGGTCTCTGATTCATCAGTCTTACACAGTTCACAGCACTCACCATAGCACATACCCTCCCCAGTGTCCATCACCCACCCACCCCATCCCTCCCACCTCCCACCACTGCTCCAGCAACTCTCAGTTTGTTTCCTGAGTCTCTTATGGTTTATCTCCCTCTCTGGTTTTGTCTTGTTTCATTTTTTCCTCCCTTCCCCTATGATCTTCCATCTTGTTTCTCAAATTCCTCATATCAGTGAGATTATATGATACTTGTCTTTCTCTGATTGACTTATTTCGCTTAGCATAATATCCTCTAGTTCCATCCATGTCATTGCAAATGGCAAGATTTCATTTTTTTGATGGCTGCATAATATTCCACTGTGTGTGATATATATACCACATCTTCTTTATCCATTCATCTGTTGATGGACATCTTGGCTATTCCCATAGTTTGGCTGTTGTGGACATTGCTGCTGTAAACATTGGGGTGCACATATCCCTTCGGATCACTACATTTAGTGGGCTTAATTCTAAGTGGTTATTTTAAAAGATGTCCCGGGAAAAGCAAAGCGGGAACTTAGAGTGGGAATCCTAAACTCAAGCTCTTTTTTTTTTTATTTCAAATATTTTTTTTCTGATTTTTTGCAATTTCTTTTTTTTATTATGTTCAGTTGGCCACTCTATAGTACATAATTAGTCCTCGATGCAGTGTTCAACAATTCATTAGTTAAGTATAACACCCAGTGCTCATCACAGCACGTGCCCTCCTCAATACCCATCACCCTGTTACCCCCTCCCCCCACCCGCCTCCCCTATGAAACCCCCAGATTGTTTCTTGGGGTCCATAGTCTCTCATGGTTCATCTCCCTCTCTGATTTCTCCCCCTTTGGATTTCCCTCCCTTCCCCTATGGTCCTCCGTGATATTGTTTATGTTCCACATATGAGTGAAACCATATAATTGTCTTTCTCTGTTTGACTTACTTCACTTAACATAATCCCCTCCAGTTCCATCCATGTCAGTGCACATGGTGGGTATTCATTGTTTCTGATGGCTGAGTAGTATTCCATTGTGTATATGTACCACATCTTCTTTATCCATTCATCTATTGAAGGGCATCTCGGCTCCTTCCACAGTTTGGCTATTGTGGACATTGCTGCTATGAACATTGGGGTGCACATGCCCCTTCTTTTCACTCCATCTGTATCTTTGGGGCAAATACCTAGTAGTGCAATTGCTGGGTCGTAGGGTAGCTCTATTCTTAACATCCTGAGGAACCTCCATACTGTTTTCCAGAGTGGCTGTACCAACTTGTAGTCCCACCAGCAGTGTAAGAGGGTTCCCCTTTCTCCACATCCTCACCAACATTTGTTGTTTCCTGTTTTCTTAATTTTTGCCCTAAACTCAAATTCTTATCGAAATGTCCAGACCCTGGGTGTGAGCAGGGTTATCATGCTGTAAAATGCCTAGGCAACAACTCAGAAAAATACAAGTCGTTTTTCTCATCACACCAGGCCGCATACCAGTAAGGAATGATAAGAGGCAACAAATCTAGGTTTTTGGAAATGAAGGCAGTTCTTTCCAGTCTATTGAGCAGAGTGGACATTTTGTTTTGTACTGACCCACTTCTTTTCCTTTAAACTAGCTTTTATTTTCACTTCTTCTTTAGATAATTGTATGCCTATAAGCATATACTTAACTTTTATAAGAATCTTCAGTGGGAAAATTTGTAGTTGAACTATGATTATATTAGTTAGCGTTTAGTTTTCTTTAGAGATAGGGAAGAAAATAATGTTTAGAGTCAAGCACAGGCCAGCAACCTAGATGAGAAACCATAAGGACATGATGCTAAGTGAGATAAGTCAGAGAGAGGAACACAAAAACTGTATGATCTTGCTTATATGTGGAATCTAAAAGTACTGAACTCAGAAGCAGAGAACAGATTAGTGGTTACCAGAAGCCAGTGGGGAAAATGCGTGAAGGAGGTCAAAAGGTACAAACTTCCAGGTATAAGATAAATAAATTCTGGGATGTAATGTACAACTTGGTGACTATAGTATCTTTGTATATTTGGAAGTTGCTAAGACAGTGGATCTTAAAAGTCCTCATCACAAGGAAAAAATTGTAATTGTGATGTGATGGATATTAACTACACTTATATATTTTGCAATATATACATAGATCATTATACTGTACACCTTAAACTTATACAATGTTACATATTATTATATCCCAATAAAATTGGGCTAAAAAAGGAATCATGTACTCTACTAGTGTTGCTCACTAATAGAATGAAAACAAATCTGAAATTTGATCTGTATTCATTAGGTATTGTAATGAGGGCTTACTACATACTGGGTACTATTTTAGGTGCTGGGGATAAAGTGGTGAATAAGACAAACATAGAGCTTGAGCTTTATGGAGCTTATAGTCTACAGGGGCAGACAGGGATAAATGGGATGAGTAAGTAATTACATACTGTTTGTTAGCGTGCTAAGGAGAAAAAAAAATGAAGCCAAGGAGGTAGAATTATAAGGAAGAGCAAAATGAGATGGTACTTTTGAAGGAGGACTTTCAAGAAATTAGGGAGCTGGAAGAGCATTCCAGGAGAAGAGCAAATGCAAAGGCCCTGAGGCAGGAGTGTGTGTTGTAGGAACTTTGAGGGGCCCAGCTAGGTTGGACAGGAGTGGACAAAGGGGAGAGTGGTAGGAGATGAAGGCTCTGAGAAGTGGCAATAGGGAAATCAGACCAGTGAGAGGAACTGCTAAAGGGGAAAATAGTATTTTGAGAGTGATCAAGTCAGAATATTGCAATCATTTGATGGGGCGCAGAAAACTTTTTTTTATCTTCAGAGATTTCACCTGTAGATAAAATAAGTTTTGACCCAGGTACTAGCCATTTAGGCTATTGATCATCACAGTTGAACAAACATTTTTTGCTGTGGCAATGTATATATAAATATGGCATAAGTTTCAAATTTGAGACAGAAGTGTCATTTAACTTTAAATGTTTAATGTTTGCTTAAACCTGTATCATTTTTCAACTAGTAAGTTGAAATGAAGACAACCACCCTTAGGTAAAGTCATTTTGATTAAATAAAATGTTTTTCCCCTACTCTGTTGGTAGGTAAATAACTTGTATACAGCAAGATTATTTGACTTGGTACACAAACAATTGACTTTGATTTCTTGTGCTGATTAATGGCCCTGTTACTCTAAAAAAAACCCCAAAGAACAAAACAAAAACCCCAAATAACGACTCCCTAAGCCTCATAGTTTTCAAATATGTAAAATAAGATGGTTTTTTTTCAGGGCATCCCCAATAGAGCAGTTTTGCAGGTTTGATGAATTAAGAAATGTATGTGACTATGTTTAATAAAACTGTTGAAGAAATTTATAAGTACAAACTGTTATCGTCATAGTATTTAAAGCATTGGTTTTACATTGTTATACCCATAATCAAGTTCTTCAGGGGCTGATTGTTCCATGCCCACTCCCTTTTCTCTTTTGCTTTCTTCCTTACTCCCTACCTTTTGTTCATGTAACAATCTGTCTTCATCTTCACCATGGGGAGAGGGAAAGGAACAGTGCTTGAAACTTTATTGGGCTTTTAAAATTGTGTTTCTAATCCAGTTGTGAGTTTCATTGCTCTGAGTATCATTTCACCTGTTACCAGAATTAAGAATTTACTGAACTTGAATTTAGATTTGTTGATGTTTAGCTTATTATTACTGGTTTTAGTATACTTTACAGTAAGTCAAGTAATGTGGATGGGATATTTCTAATAAGAATTCATGTTATCTCTCAAGCAGTGAACAGCAAAACTCTTAATTATTGTGAGTCTCATATGTAACCTATTAAGAACACTTTTTTAATAACTAGTTTTCTGCTTATGAAACTAATACATCATAGGAAATTTGGAAAAGCAAAATAAGCAAATACTTAACTACATTGTAATTTTCCGTGATCCCATCCTGGAGAGAGAACTTCTCTTCACCTTTCAGTATACATTCTTCCAGTTTTTCAATGATATGGTCTTATATATTTTTAAAATAAATTGAATCATTATTCTGTAATAGAATTTTAGCTCAATGATGGATCTCTCTGAGTTGCAGTATTTTTATTTGTAAAATAAAGATAAAATATGCATTATATAGAGTTCTTGTGAGGATTAAATCAGGTAATGTGTACGTTAACAGTGTCTGGCACATAGTATGTGCTCAGTAATGGAAGCTGATAGTAAATAATAGGAATGGAAATAAGATGTTTCTAGAAGTGTAGTTTCTAGGGCAAAGGATATAAATATTTTCAAGGTCATTGATAGACATTGCTAAATTTCTCTTTGAACTATGCTCCCAATTTATTCCTATCAGCAGAGTATGAGAGTGCTTTTTACCTTGAAACCATAATTAACTATGGTTATCATAATTTTAAAACCTTTGCCCACTGGATGGGGAAAATTGGTATATCTTTTTTTTTAATTTGCACTTTGAAGGAGTATTAAAGCATTCATCATTTTTTTATATGTTCATTGACCATTTATGTTTCTTTCTTGTGAATTTCCTATTCATGGCTTTGAAGAAAGCTAAGGTTTCAGAGTAGCTAATAAAACTATGCTTTTATCTACACTGGAGCAATTGAATGGTGCTCTATTTTTTAAAAAATTAAAGTTTCAGTAAGACATACTTTTCATTTTGATAGCTAAAACATTAGCATATAAATGTTCCCATTTTAAGAAGGATATTGGAGAAAGTTCTAACACTCTTCCGTGGAAGCTTGATCACATCTTGCTTTTTAATGGTCCGCAATTGTTTTTGTTTCAGAAAAGCACAGGTCGACCACATATAATCCAGAAAACCTTGGCAGGACAATATTCTAAGCACATGAAGAATCTCAGTAAGTTCTAATTAAGATGGCCATTTTATTTTATGTAATAGGAGCCGTGCCTTGGGGGAACTCAGTGCACATGCAGGAGGTAAAATTGCTCTGCAGTGAGCCATGTGGGTGGGCAGTGGCATGAACTGTGGCTGGTGTGGAATGAGGCCTGGAGAGTCGTTGCCGATGGAAATACTGAAAGAAGCAGCCCAGGAGTAAACCTCTGTTAGAACCAGACAGTGTGGCTAAATTTAATGGTGATTTGCAATGAGGCTCATCCTTAAATTTCTCTGACAGTTTACGGCTTTTTAGACAATTTGTATTGTCTCACTCTTATGTTCTGGTCCCGAGGTATCCTAAGGACACTGATGTTGACAAAAGCTTCTTTTGGATTATTGGGAATGTGATATTGCTTCTGTATATTAATGCCAAAAGTCTTCAATAATTTATGCAAAGTCTTATGCCATACATTATTTTTAAATCTAAACTGAATTAAGCACAGTGAAATTCTCTTAAATTTTCAGATATTGAGGGTCAGGTGGTTGTAGGTCAAATATGCATATTCTAATGAATCTTGAATATCTCATTACATTTTTGATGATGTTTGGAAGAAAATAATATTTGAATTATAAATTATAATTTGTGCGTTACAAATAGAATTAGATTTGTGACCATGAGACTGTGAAATGTTTAGTGATTGGCATACCTTTTCCACCTTAGTTTATTTTGATTTTGAGATGATGTATGCTATCAATGTTGCTGTTTCTTCACATAATACTTTTATTTTATTTTATTTTTTGCATCAGGTTGAGTATACTCTTTAATTCCCATCACCTGTCTTACCCATCCCCCTCCCCCCCCCGCCCCCCGTTATGGTAGACATCAGTTTGTTCACTATAGTTAAGAGTTTTCCTGGTTTGTCTCTTTTTTTTTTCCTTCCTTTACTCATTTGTTTTGTTTCTTAAATTCCATTTAGGAGTGATATCACATGGTTTTTGTTTTTCTCTGACTAACTTATTTCGCTTAGCATTATACTCTCTAACTCCATCTCTGTTGTTGCAAATCACAAGATTTCATTCTTTTTTATGGCTGAGTAATATTCCTCTGTGTGTGTGTGTGTGTGTGTGTGTGTGTGTGTGTGTGTGTACCACATCTTCTTTAACCTTTCATCTATTGATGGACATTTGGGCTGCTTCCATAGTTTGGCTATTGTAAATAATGCTGCAATAAACACAGCGGTGTATGTATCCCTTTGAATTAGCATTTTTGTATTTTTTTGGTAAATACCTAGTAGTACAATTGCTGGATTGTAGGGTAGTTCTATTTTTAACTTTTTGAGGAACCTCCATACTGTTTTCCAGAGTGGCTGCACCAGCTTGCATTCCCACCAGCAGTGTAGGAGGGTTCCCCTTTCTCCACAGTCTCACCAACACTTGTGGTTTCTTGTGTTTTTGATTTTGTCCATTCTGACAGGTGTGAGGTGATAGTTTTGATTTGCATTTCCCTGATGATGAGTGATATTGATCATCATGTGTCTCTTGGGCATCTGGATATCTTCTTTGGAGAAATGTGTGTTCATATCTTTTGTCCTTTTTTATAATCTTTTTTTTTTTTTCTGCATGTACAGCAGAGGAGGGGCAGTGGGAGAGGGAGAGAGAATCCCAAGCCGGCTCCACGCCCAGCATGCAGCCCAGTGAGGGCTCAGTCCCACAACCCCGAGATCATGAGCTGAGCCAAAATCAAGAGCTGGATGCCTCACTGACTGAGCCACCCAGGCGTCCCTCTTCTGTCCATTTTTTTAATTGGATTATTTGGTTTTTGGGTATTGAGTTGTATCCATTTTTTATACATTTTGGATACTAGCCCTTTATCGGATATGTCATTTGTAAATATTTTCCCCCATTCAGTAGGTTGCCTTTTAGTTTTGGTGATTGTTTCCTTTGCTGTGCAAAAACATTTTATTTTGAGATAGTCCCCATAGTTTATTTTTGCTTTTGTTTCCCTTGCCTCAGGAGACATATCCAGAAAAATGTTGCTATGGCTGATGTCAGAGAAATTACTGCCTGTGCTCTCTTCAAGGATTTTTATGGTTTTAGGCCTCACGTTTAGGTCTTTAATCCATTTTGAGTTTATTTTTGTGTGTGGTGCAAAGAAAGTGGTCCAGTTTCATTCTTTTGCACAAAGCTGTTGTTGAAGAGATTGTCTTTTTCCATTTTATATTCATTCCTCTTTTGTTGAAGATTAATTCACCATATAATTGTGGGTTTATTTCTGGGTTTTCTATTCAATTCCGTTGATCTGTGTGTCTGTTTTTGTGCCAGAACATACTGTTTTAGTCACTACCGCTTTGTAATATAACTTGAAGTCTGGAATTGTGATACCTTGAGTTTTGTTTTTCTTTTTCGGGATTGCTTTGGGTATTTGAGGTCTTTTGTGGCTCCAATACAAATTTTAGGATTGGTTGTTTCTAGTTCTGTGGAAAATGCTTTGGTATTTTGATAGGGATTGCAGTAAGTCTGTAGATTACTTTGGGTAGTGTAGACATTTTAACAATACATGTCCTTCCAGTCCACGAGCGTGGATTGTCTTTCTGTTTCTTTGTGTTATCTTCAATTTCTTTCATCAGTGTTTTATAGTTTTCAGAGTACAGGTCTCTCACCTCTTTGGTTAAGTTTATTCCTAGATATTTTATTGTTTTTGGTGCAATTGTAAATGGGATTATTTTCTTAATTTCACTTTCTGCTGCTTCATTATTAGTGTATAGAAATGCAACAGATTCCTGTACATTGATTGTGTATCCTGCGACTTTACTGAATTCATTTGTCAGTTCTAGTAGTTTTTTGGTGGAGTCTTTCAGGTTTTCTATATACAGTATCATGTCATCTGCAGATAGTGAGAGTTTTCCTACTTCCCTACCAAGATGGATGCCTTTTATTTCTTTTTGTTGTCTGATGGCTGTGGCTAGGACTTGCTGTACTATATTGAATAAAAGTCGTGAGAGTGGACATGCTTGTCTTGTTCCTGACCTTAGGGGAGAAGTTCTCAGTGTTTCCCTCTTGAGTATGATGTTGGCTGTGGGTTTTTCATATAAGGCTTTTATTATGTTGAAGTATGTTCCCTTTAGCCGTACTTTGCAGAGGACTTTTCTCATGAGTGGATGTTGTACTTTGTCTAATGCTTTTTCTGCATCTGTTGAAGTGATCATATGGTTTTTATCTTTTCTCTTATTGACGTGGTATATCATGTTGATTGTTTTGTGAATATTGAACGAACCACACTGGTGTCCTGGAAAGAAATCCCACTTGATTGTGGTGTATGGTTTTTTTTTTTTTTTATGTATCATTGGATTCAGTTTGCTAATATTTTAGTTGGGGATTTTTGCATCTATGTTCATCAGGAATATTGGTCTGTAGTTCTCTTGTTGTGGTGTCTTTATTTGCTTTTAGAATCAGGGTGATACTGGCCTCATAGAATGAATTTGGAAGTTTTCCTTCCGATTCTTTTTTTTTTTTTAAATAGTTTGAGAAGAATAGGTATTTCCTCTTCTTTAAATGTTTGGTAGAATTCGGCTGAGAAGCCATCTGGTCCTGGACTTTTATTTTGGGCGAGTTTTTTGATTTCTGATTAAATTTCAATGCTGGTAATTGGTCTGTTCAAATTTTCTATTTCTTCCTGCTTTAGTTTTGGTACTTTCACATATTTTAAAAACATACTCCTATTGAACTGCAGTCAAGTATAAACTTTTGTATTCCTTTTTCTTTTACACAGGTATGGAAAGCAGTGACCAGTGGCCCTTTCTGTCTGAATTACAATGGTTGAAAAGGAGAAGGAAGAGAGCAGTGAATGTGAGTGTGGCATTGAACCATAGGTGGGGCCACTTCACTCAGCTAAATTGTGTGCCTGAAATCACATAGTATCTGAGTGTATCTGAAGCAGTTGAGATTTGGGCAATATCCTCTCACAAACCAAAACAACAAACCAAACTCCTCCTATGGTTTGCGTCTTATAGGCATATTGCTTTTTATTCAGCTTTTTCTATTTGAGGTACACTGGTTACAGTGTCCTGTGAACCCTGATGGCATATAAGAAATGTATTATTTTAGCTTCATTTTCAAAGCATTTTCTTATGAAAAGTACAGTGCGTTTTTTTTCTATTAAAAGTACAGCAGACTTTTTTTTTTATATGGCTTATATAACATTATGAAGCATTTTTGTTCACCAAAAAAGTAAGGGGTAGTATTAGGTTTTGAAATGTTGGCTAATGATGCCTATTTGTAGCTCTTTCAAATTGAAAGCTCTGTTGTACCAAAATTTGAAGCTGGATATGTTTTCTTGAGGATCTTTTTGACCATTGGTGTCATGACAGTTACCAAGTACGAATCATGTAATTATATAATCAGCAACTGTAGGATAGCTCCCATGTATTGATAAATGTATAGGAGCTTTGTAACTGAAATTATGTTCCTAGTCTTTTTCATAATAGATTAGAAAGCTTGTAATGATGGGGACTGTTTCGTAATTACATGGTGAATACTATGTAACTGAGAATTAATTCCACAGCATATAGATTACATGGTAATTTACTAGATAACTTAATGAGTAATTATACTGAAAATTGCACATTTTAGATAATGTTTTGCTGAATGTATTTTTTTGTGAAAAAATTAGACCACCAGTCATCAGAAACTTAGTTACAGGTTAAATCATCCTCTCTTTTATGAGCCTGTCTTCATGTTATGGTGATTATAGATACAAATTTTGTTTTTTTGCTTAGAGTTTTTTTCTTACTCTTGAAGATGTGGTTGGTAATAATAAGTTTTATATAGGCTACTGACATTTCACTACAGTCCACCCCTATCAAATATAAACTGATCAATGACCTTGTACGTAAAGAAAAAAAGAGTTACCATTATTGGTTTTCAACTACGAAAAAAGAAAGCCCAAATGATAATTCAGATGCTTAGCACTTGCTCTTAAAATTATCTAGGAATAATAAAAATTTAGAAGCATTTAGAAAATAGTAATTATCAATGTTTGTTCCTTTGAGAAGTTGTGTGGTTAAGATTTAGTACATTATTATTAAAATTTCACTCCAGTGACTTAATGTTTCTTTTGACTATATTGATAACTGTTTTCCACACACACTGTGCTGTTCTTATTAAATGAGCTTTAAGTAGATTTCCTTTGAAGTTTTAAGTAGATAAGAATCTTTTTTTACCACATTTTAATGCCAAAGAAATTGAGATTTATTTATTTTAGCAGAATTATACTGTATACTTTTCTCTAGGATATTTTTCCATATGAAAATCATATAAAAATAACATGGGCTGGGGGTGCCTGGCTGACTCAGTTGGTGGAGCATGAGACTCTTGATCTTGGAGTCATGAGTTCGAGCCCCATATTGGGAGTAGAGATTACTTTAAAAAAATCTTAAAAAAAAAAAACACAGGGTTTTCTCTATCTTGATGAGTATTTTTTTTTTAAAGATTTTATTTATTTATTTGACAGAGAGAGAGAGACAGTGAGAGAGGGAACACAAGCAGTGGGAATGGGAGAGGGGGAAGCAGACTTCCTGCTGAACAGGGAGCCCAATGTGGGGCTCCATCCCAGGACCTTGGGATCATGACCTGAGCTGAAGGCAGACGCTTACCAACTGAGCCACCAGGTGCCCCTATTTTAATGATAATTAAATACAGTTCTTTTCTGAATACTTGAATGTTTATCCAGACTTTACAGTCGCTGTCTTCGATTTTGCTTACCAAGTTTGTTCCAGGGTGTTTTTTTATAAAGTAGGCAGCAAAGCGTTCTTTTTGAAATTCAAAGTCAATCTACAAGTTAATAGTCAGCATCAGAGATATATCCACCACCATTCTGACTATATTTTTATTTTCCACAGCCATCTCGCGGTGTGTTTGAAGAAATGAAATACTTGGAACTTATGATTGTTAATGATCACAAAACGGTAAGAATATAAAGAATCAGTGAGTTTTAGGCCTGGCAGCTTGCTTAAGAAAGATTACATTTCACTTTATATTGAATCATTATTTCTTACTTATTAGGGCCAATGTATTTAGATGCTTTATTTCTTTGGAACTATTGAATGACTTGATTTATTTCATGGTGTTCGGAGACACTGGGCTTTATAGAATTTTCACACCTCTAATAAATAGATGAATATTTAGTGGTTATGATGAATGGATTTACCTATTTGTTTGACATCTTTTACATACCTTCATTTAAAATTCTTATTCTCTACTTTTCTTCTTCTATGTATTTGGCCACTACTTTCTAATTTTATTCCACGTCTTTGTTCTGAGAACATTTTTTTCTTACTAATTATTATGACTTGTGGCAAATGTAATTATAGGAAGTGAAGATGTATAATAAAGGCATATCCAGAGAGACACTCTTTGATGATTTATCTTCTTTAAATTTTGGAAAGATGAATAATATTGTGCTACTTATGTCAAAGTACAGTGTGATTTAATGTGTCATCTCAATAACACTTAAAAGACATGGAAAATAATTTTTGCCTCCACTGGCTGTTCTTGAAAATAGAGTGGAAACTTTCTTTTTTTAAAGGTTTCATTTATTTATTTGAGAGAGAGAAAGCAAGCATGAGCCAGGGAGAGGGGCAGAAGGAGAAGGAGAAGCAGGCTCCCCGCTTAGCAGGGAGCCCTACTAAAGGCTGGCCCCGGGGATCATGACCAGAGCTGAAGGCAGATGCTTAAGCGACTGAGCCACCCAGGCACCCCAAGTAGAAACCTTTCTTAACCATGTTTTACTTAATCGTGTCCCTTGTAAAACAGGTTGGTGGAAGCCTAGAGCTTTCTAAAGAGTCTTGTCCAGTAGGGTGTTTGCTAGTATAACTAGTATAACCAACACTTGGGGTATGCTTAAATGTTTAACACTTAGCTCTCTGGGAAAAAAAAGCCTTGATTTATAATGGTTACTGATACCTGTGATGTAAATACTCCCATCATGGCTGATTTCAAGCTACTGGAGTGAGCTCACTAAATGAGGAGCTGGGAAAAGTTGCATCCAGTTCGCTCTTGTGAACTGTTGGGAGCTGGCTCCAGCACCCCTTTGCTGCACCTCCCAGACTGTGTAGGCTCGTTGTACTTCTTGTTGTAACTATATAATTTAATTTAAGAAATTGTATAAACTAAGACAAAGAGCAGTTGTTTTTATGAAAACTGAGTTATATTTCTGGAAAGATGAGAATATATCAAGAAATACTTAAAAGTCAGGTATGGGTGACAAACTTGTAAAAGATTGCAACAAAAATTCAGATTGCTTTGCATATATCATTAAGTCCTTGTTTTACTTTAAGGAGGCCAAATTAGATTAGTAGACGATAGGGTAAAATGATAGTGTGAAATTCTATTAGTAGACCCTACTCAAGAAAAAGCCTTGAAACCATAAATTTAAAAATATGGTGACTTATTTTTTAAACTTTTATTTGACTCTCTACATTAGCAGACATTTTTTACTAATTGCCAAGTACTGGTTCAGTTATGTTGAGTATTATTCAGTGGAGTACCTGTTAATTATATATGCAGATTTATTTTATTTACCAGTAGCTTTTAAATATATTGCTTGATATATGTTAGAAGAAGCAGAGGCGAGATCCTCTCTGGTCGGAAGGAAAACCAAATGTGTAGACAGCCATTTTAGATAATGAAGGCTAAACTAAGCGTTTCAGAAGGACATTAATTTGCTTGAAACCCCAAGATAATTTTTCATCTGAACTATTTTTGTTGACTGGGACATTGAAAGTTTTTGTAGGTACTTCTCAGTCCTTAGCGTTGTGGCATGAAACTATGGCGTTAGACATTTCCGCTTTTTCTAATATCCATTATGCAAATACTTTTGAAGTAGTGGAAGGAATAATTGTGATACGTGCAATGCCTCTAAATTCACAAAGTACATTCACAGAGAGCTGGGAATGCATAGAACCCTTCTCCAACCCAAGACTCTTATCTCCACATCTCCTGTTCCACCATAATCTAAAACTATCATCAATCAGAGTATGTATCGGCAACTGTATAAATAGGAAACAATAATTTTTAAAAAATATTGTCTACTTTGAATTTATATTTTAATCCTTTTAAATGGAAGCATTCAAATAATCTTGTCTCTGTCTTATGAATATAAAACAGCACCCTCCCATTTAAAATATCATTTTCATATATGGAAATTTTCTGCACTTTATACCATATATTCTGTGATAAAGTTACCTTCTTTATGCTACCAAATTTGTTAATGGTAAACCTTGGTAATTATTTTATTATTATTTTATTAAAATTGAGAGAGAACTAGTCATGATATGTTCATCTATCTTTGAAACTAGACTAAAAGAATTGTAATTTTCACTGATAAACTTGCAAGGAATACATAGTAAGAAATTAAATAAAAAGAAAGCTTTATTCTCGAGTAGTAATAATACCTCAAGTAGAAAGAAATTACCTGAGTGATTTCTACTATTTGAATAAACCTTACATCTGGCCTTTAATGGGACAGAATATTCCTTTTGCTTTGAGACCAGGTTACATCCTAGGCCCACAGAAGTGTGTCATTTTATAAGGATTTTTTTTCTTTTGAGAGGTGAGAAAAAAAGTTTTTTTAAGGTGTGCTTTATATGAAATGAAAAAAATGAAGATTGTTTTTGAATTTGATTGCCACGAAGAAGTAGTAAGTCAGAACATGGGTCAGATCCTGAAATTCACATTTTTGAAGGTAAAACTGAACTAGAATAATTAACATCTGTTTTTTTAATACCTGGAGCTTTACTGTTGGCTTTTAGAATGATCATCCTTGAAATGACTCATCATCATACAATCTTTGTGCCAGATGAGGCAACACGGTTGTTTTGATAACTGTCACCCTCAGATTGAAAATCAAGCTCTAATTTTAATTTTTTTCAAAAAGCAAATTTCTTTAAGGGTTGTAATTGTTCAGGAAGGAAAAATAAATTTGGCACTTGAAATGTAAATTATTTTCAGTGATCACAAAATGTGAAAGTCAGTTTTATCATAAATGGAGATTGCATATTTTTCTTTGTATGCAAAATTATTTCTCATTCATGCAGGGAATAGAAACATTTTGCCTACATTCACATTCAAGCTAATCTCTTTAATTCAGAGTAACCTAATATTGGCTTCCTGAAAAAAGGCAGACACCTTATTTTGAACAAGCATCATGTTATCGGTGGCTTTCAATTAGGAAAGGAAAATCCCTCAATTTTGTAGAAAGCATCTTGGTAGCTAGCTGGTGGAACCTAATTTGTAAGCCAATTATAGCCTTGATAAGGGTCTACAAACATTTCTTTGAGCCACTTGAGCTAAATATAAATATGAAAAGCCTTATTCTAATAGAAAATTGGTTGAAATATTTTAAAGTGCGCGAAAAATGTTTTGCTTACATTTTTGCTGTATCCATACGTGTAAGTCCGAGTGCAAGTGTGTTATAGCTCAAATATTTCTCAATTTAAACCTCAATTTGAACCCTATTTGAAAACCACTATACTTTATGGGCACATTAACAAATTACGAGTTCTCATCAAGAACTGTGATTTCTTGGGAATATACATTAACCTATTTTATCATAATTGTTCACTGAACAAGTTTATCGCCTATCTCAACCCAGAGTAGACATTGAATTCCAGCTGTGTGACCTTGGATAAGTTCTTTGTCCTCTCTCTGAACCTCACTGTCCACATTTCTAAAATGGTCTAATAAAACCCACCTCATAGAGTTGTGAGGAGCAAATCCTTGTTGAGAAACACTTATAGATCCTGGTAAACCCTAGCTGCTCAATTAAGTGGGACTTCCAGTGAACAAATCGCATGGGTACCCTAGCGGTTCTCTTTCGTGCTCTCAGCCGCAGTGGACACGGTTGATTATGCTCTCCTCTGTGAAACATTTTCTTCATCTTTCGGCTTCTGTTGACACAACAGCTCTCCCAATTTACCGGCCCTTCCTTCTTAGTCTTTTGCATCTGGCCTCTAGGATTATGGGAGTGCTCATAGCTTGGTTTTGGGCTCTCTTTTCTCTCCATAACTCTTCCAATGTGAACACTTCCAGTCTCAGTCTTTAATTAATATCATGACTTTAGGGGCGCCTGGGTGGCTCAGTCAGTTGAGCATCCAACTCTTGGTTTCAGCCCAGGTCATGATCTCAGGGTCGTGAGATCGAGCCCCACATTGGGCTCCGAGCTCCGCAGGGAGTCTGATGGAGATTTTCTCTTTCCCTCGGCCTCTGCCCCTCCCCCCTCAAAATAAATAAGTAAAGTCTTAAAAAATATATATCATGACTTTAAATTCATCACTCTCTACTTTATGCCTCTAGCCTCCTGAGTCCATACTTATGTATCAACTGTCTACTTGCATGCCAGCTTCAGTATTGAATAGGCATCTCTTAAATTTCTAAATCAGCACTCTTGATCCCTGAGTCCTAAGCTTCTCTTCACCTGGTCTTTCTCATTATTTTAAATGTCACCTCTATTCCCCCAGCTATTCCAATTCAAGACCTGGGAGTCATCCTTTATTCTTCTCTATCCTCACTTTCCACATCCTATACTTCAGTAAGTCCTGGGAAGCCTACCTTCATAGTGTGTCCACCCACTTCTCTCTGCAGATGTCCAGCCTTCATTATCTTTTACCTGGACTCTTGCTCCCATGCTTGACCCTTTCTAATTCACTTACCCCACAGCAGAGAGAGCTTTCTATAAAGGAAATCAGAGACATGGAGATTAAAAATAGGAAATAAGTGAAAAACATCACAACATCAAAAAAGACCTCATTAATTTTTTAACTTGCATGTCATATTTTCCCATGATCATTATACTACAAAAAGAAGTCTCCAAAATGGACAAATTAATGTTCAGAAGCAAAATAAAAGTTAAGTGTCATAGGTATATAACACCACTGCCTTAGAATAGGTGTCAGTTAATATTTTTCATTTCTTTTTGTAATATGTGCTTCTTAATGTCAAGACTTCTAATATTTTCATCACCCCAAAGGAACTTAATGCTGAGGCTTTTGCTTTTACTTTAAAAAATATCTTTGAAATTTTTTAGCGCGTGGAATTTGCTGGACAACTTAAAATGCTTAGCTATTTACAGCAACTTCTTTATGCCAGGTTTGAAAACCCTGTTAACGTGCCTTAAGATTCTTAGATCAATATGATGTTTTTGGCCCAGTTACATGCACAGATTGATGTTTACTCTTAAAGAACACATGGAGACAGTTTGGGTCAGGTTATGACTCATGGTGGCAGCAGTAACATCAAGCCTGAGTCCATTCTGAGTCCAAGTCCATTCGGGCTGATCTAACAAAACACCACAGACTGGGTGGCTTATGAATAACAGAAATTTACTTCTCACCATCCTAGGGGCTGAGAAGCCCAAGATCATGGTGCCAGCAGGTGGTGAGGACCTGCTTCCCAATTCATAGGCAGCACCTCGCTCTGTCCGCACTTCCTCTGGTGCAAGGGGCAAGGGGCAAGGGAGCTCTCTGGAGCTTCCTTCGAGGCACTAATCCCATTCATTAGCGTTCTGCCTCATGACCAAAGCATCTCCCAAAGGCCCCACCTCCTAATACCATCATTTTGGGAGTTAGGATTTCAACATACGAATTTGGGGGGATATAAACATTCACATCATAGTTAAGTGTTATAAATGCAAAATGGTAATAAATTAGTGAATGCTACCAATAGCACAGTACTGATTTATTGTACATTTGTCATGGGTTGTCATGGGTTGTATAAAGTATCATAAAAAATAAATATCAGGTATGTAAGCATGAAGACATATATTCTTTGTTTAAAAAAAAAGTAATACCAGGGGGCGCCTGGGTGGCTCAGTCGGTTAAGCGATTGCCTTCGGCTCAGGTCATGATCCCCGGGTCCTGGGATCGAGTCCCACATCGGGTTCACTGCTCAGCAGGAAGCCTGCTTCTCCCTCTCTCTCTGCCTGCCACTCCCCCTGCTTGTGCTCTCTATCTCTGACAAATAAATAAACAAAAAAATCTTAAAAAGAAAATCATACCAGGGTAGAGAGAGAATGAAATGAAGAAAGCCTGACAAATTTATAATATGAAAGTGGGCAGAGGAGGAAAAAAAAAGAATTTCATGGATTTCCAGAGTAGATCCATTTTTAATCTTTATGAAAGATATGTTATGATTAAAGACAGATTTTAAAGATTTATGGTGCAAATCTGATTCAGTAGTTTTGAGTATGTTTTCCTTTTTCCTCAGTAGAGGGCGTGATCCCCCTGTGGTAGACTCCAGTTTTCAAATGTCCTCTCAAAGACATACTGTGCAGTGTTCTTTGCTAAAACTGTAGCCCTCCAGATGTTGTAATGGAATTATTCTATTAATTTATTTTTACTTATTTTCTTAAATAATCATAAATAACCATAAACAATCTTAAACTATCCACGCACTTCATTTTTACTTTTTGTCCCTCCTTTGTGCTGAATTGGAACAGTCAAAAGCCAAGCCTCATTTCGAGGAGGCTTTCTTCTGAAAGAATAAACTAAAATGTATAAAAAATGCGTTCTATATCATGGCCAGTATCTAGAGTGCTGCCTAAGAAATTTTCTTGACCAGTGTCTGGTCTTGAGTTTAAAGGGAGAAGGGTGTCCGGTTGGGACTAAATTTCTTGGCTAAGCCCTTCGTAAACTGTAATGGTTGTTTCGGTGAACACAAGAAGATTGCATTTGTAGACATTAAGACTGAATGAACTACTCACTTATCGGGTGTAAAGCTTCTCACACAGATTTCTACAGGTTCTGTGCGTACTTGGAACTGGTACAGGTGTTTTAGATGGAGTTTTGCTGCCTGATAGAGAAATCAAAAAACACCACTATATCCAACATGGTGCAAGCGGAATTGTCTATTTTAATCCCTATTTGTACTATTACTGTGAAATGTCTGCTTTTACTGAAGTTTGAAATTTGCCATTAAATGATGATTTGGCAGTGACTGGTTTATCCTTTTCCCTCCCCTCAGTATAAGAAATATCGCTCTTCTCATGCACACACCAATAACTTTGCAAAGTCCGTGGTCAACCTTGTGGATTCTGTAAGTATCCCAGTTTTCTTGAACCTATTTTCCCAAGACGGGATGGTTTAATAAAAAACACCATCCTTAAGCTCATCTGGCTAAGAAATTTCCATATATTTGCCTGATAAACATATATGGTCTGTTTCCATGAAAAGTACTGTTATCAGAGTTTGGGGGGCAGTTGGGTCATTCTCGGTATCCCAAAGATGCATTAGTGTTGCTTCTAAGTGATGTCTAGACCTCTTTGTCACCCAGCCTAGAAGGACAAAAACACTAGGGAAAATTAACTGCTAAAAAGAGGGTAAATTACACTTGGCAAATGAGACTTTGTTAATGATGACCAGTTGAGCTTATTGTCTTAAATATATTGCAAGAGAGCTAATTGATTGAGGTGGAGTATGTTTTTTTTTTTAAGATCTCACATTTATTTCCTAAGTAGTGAATGCTTCAGATTTTATTTCTAGATGACAGAATTAAGTGCAGTCCCCCAAATAAAATTAATTTGAAACAGTAAGATATATATCTCCTTACAAAGACTTCTAGCTCTATAAATCGTTCATATTGATATTTTTTTCCCTCTCATTTTGTAAGTTACAGAGAATAATGGTTAAGATTTTCTTCCTTTTTCCTGATTTAGGTAGAATTACATAGATGTGAATATTATTTGTTATGTTCCAATACATAGTTCAGTTTGGCTAGTCATAGATTAAATATAGCATACTACTTTGTTTTCTAATGTCAAGTGCTATTTTGTTCAGTTAAATCTATTTTTATCTGATATTTATGGTATGTTCCCTCTTAATTGGGAAAAAAAACTTTTTATGAATTGCCAACTGTCTAAATGATACTTATTTCCTCCAAAGAACTGCCTTCGAAACAGTCCCCAAACCTTTCATCACGTAAATACTCACAATATATAATACCTGTAGGCACAGCTGAGTAATGGTATAATACAGGTGGATGGGCAGAGTATGCCATATAGAGTTAGGACTGAAATTCTGAAAGCCAGTTTACACCTGGTTTATTAATCTTCTGTAATTTTAGCTCCTGTCAGCAGTCTTCTCAGAAGAAGACTATAAGTGAATATGGAAAAGAGAAGTTGCCAAAGCTGTTGACTTGGTAGCATCTCTGTGTTGGTCCTTCCACCATGATTGAATAGAACCACATCTTGCAAAGTGGAATTGGGTTCTGAAGCTGGCTAACTAATTTTTAAAAGACATTACATTTAACTCGCTTGTTGTAAAATCATTATAGCTTCGGGTTGATTTAGGCATGCTGATATTCCTTTTCTTCAGTGTGTTCAAAGATCACCCATTATTTTCTTAATTAGCCTGAAAATAGGACAAAATAACAGCCGTCTTTGAAATTGCTTAATTGTGTGAATTGTTTAGCATCTGGGACAAAAGTCGAGAAAGATACAGTCTAAGTACTGGGAGTGAGGCCACCCTATGGTGAGGGGCAAGTGAGTATATGAATCTGTTTTTCCTTCTTTTGGCCCAGATCTAGGATTCCCTCCCAGTGTTCTTTTACGTGTCATGGCACTGGGCCTCCAAGGACAAGTTAGCCATGTTGTTGGGCGCTGGTCCAAGGACTTAGTGACCTGTTTCAATCCTGCAGGGCTGACTGGTCGTACTGCACTCCGAGCCAGTAGGTCAGGCTCCAGCCACTCTTTGGGGGAGTGATTTTACTGAACCCTGTTTTGAATTTATGTCCAGACTTTAGAATCTTGACATACCTACTGTCCATCCCCTAGTGAGATGCCTGGCCAATAAATGTGCTGATTTGGGATTGAAAGAGTCTTGTAGGAGAGGCTGAATTGTGTGATTGTTCTTCCTTTCTTTATTTTTGTTCTTGGAAATGAGAAAGAAAAGAAGATTCTTTATAATGAGCTAATTGTGAACTCGTGTTCTCCTCTCACCTCCCTTCCTGTCCTTCCACTGACTCTGAATCACTGATTGTGCATGTTTGACCCAGTGTTTTCCTCCTGCACCTGTCCTGTTGTATACCCTCAGATTTACAAGGAGCAGCTCAACACCAGGGTTGTCCTGGTGGCTGTAGAGACCTGGACTGAGAAGGATCATATTGACATCACCACCAACCCTGTGCAGATGCTCCATGAGTTCTCCAAATACCGGCAGCGTATCAAACAGCATGCCGATGCTGTGCACCTCATCTCGTATGTACCTGCAGTCTTTGATCTTTATCCCCTTATTGTATCCATTAAGTTATATGTCAAGTGTACTGATCTTGAATTGATTCTTCTCTCTGGTTATGTAAGTAGCAGGGAGGTAGGTTGTCTGGTGCTGGGATGGTGGTTCCATGGTCATAAGACTTACCTTCAGAGCACGTTCTTACTTTCACACTTTCCATCCTCCGGGTCAACTCATGATTCAAGGTGGCTGCTGGTGCACCAGCCTTTATTACAGGCACCAGGAATATAGTCACGGAGGAGTTCAAAAGAGCCCTCCTTCCAGCTGAGTTAGCTCGTTTAAAGCAGATTTCCCGATAGCTTTCACATATCCATTTTACCAACAAATCATTTCCTGGCTCTTAATCACATGCCACCCATAGAGAGGGTTGCAAGAGAGACCAGGAAATATAGTCTTTAGAGGTGAACCATTGAATAAAATTGAGATTTTATCGTTGAGGAAAAGGATGACCATACGGTCTTTCAATATAATAGGTGGTTTCCTTCTCCATTCATGGCAAAGCTGTTTTCAGACAGTCCTCCAAGGTTCTGTCCTGGAATCAGACCCACCAGATTCCTCTTTCCTTGCCTCTCACCTTAGCTCTTTACTTCCTTTTCTCTCAGTCTATAATCGGCAATGTATAATAATTTATAATAATCGGTCAGTGCTTAGTAGGTGCTCGATTAATGTTTGTTCAACTGAGATTGTTTCACACAACATAAATGTAAAGGTATTTATGACAACATAAGTCTGAAGGTATTCTTTTTTTTTAAGTCTAAAGGTATTTAAAATGTAGTTTTTGATTTCTTGAGGAAGAATGAGTTTGGGGAGTTCACTGTAGAAGAGGGATTAGGTGTGTCTTGGGAGAGTATATATGATAGTCACTATGTTGGTTTCTTGATAGCGCTTCCTTTTTCTTTAGGCGTATGACATTCCACTATAAGAGAAGCAGTCTGAGTTACTTCGGAGGTGTCTGTTCTCGCACAAGGGGCGTTGGTGTGAATGAGGTAAATTTGATCAATTTTCCTAAAGTAGAGCTTTATCTTTGCATTTGACCTCTTTCTTCCCTGTGGCCTAGCTTCCATCCCTCTCAGGCTTGTTTAAAATGACAATGACATAAGAATAAGGTATGAGTGATTTATACTAGTAAGTGGAACCCAAAGTGGTCTTTGGTGTTAGAAAAGAAGTATTGCTTCATTTCATAATGATGGTTTTTCATGTTTGTCAGGCAAATGCATGCCAAAGATTGGTCCAGAGATTTTTTTCCACCTCTATGGATAAGTTTTTATAAACTTATTCCTTTCCCAATAACTTGAAGCCATCATGCTCTCCTATGCATGTTAGGTTTAACTCATTTAAATCAAAGAGTTTATGATTATATTTAAGCAGTATCTTTGTTTTCTCCCTATGCAAATTTTTCAGCTTTATGCCTTCTACCTGTATCTCTGTAGAATTCATTGAAACAAATATTTCCTTAGTCTCATTGTTTGGATTCCAGTACCTTCATTTATATCAAGGAAATCCTTACGCCTGTTGGCAACAGCACCCAAAAAGCCGAACCAACTATATCTAAACCCTGATCGATGCCAGAATATATTATACCAGCTTATCCCAATAGCCGTCATTCAGTCGAGACCGCTCTTGGCATATTTGTAGTAAGTTGAATTTATTCTTGGTTTGGTATGAGTTGAATCAGGGCATAGCCTTTTATGGCTTGTATTTTATGTTTCCATGTGAGAGCATCAAGTTCTGAGAGATGCCACATAGGAAGAGAGGCTTTCTGCTTCTTGGGCCCAGTTGCAAGGAAGAAGTGAGAAGGAGCATATGCCATCTTTTGATGCTGTGAGGCTCTACTTAGGGAACTGAGATGATATGTGGTGATGATTAAGAAATAATAACTAGCTTTGTGCACTCTCTCAAATGTCTCCCACACACTTTCAACTCTGAAAAACAGTATGGTCTTCCAATGGCAGTGGCACAAGTATTATCGCAGAGCCTGGCTCAAAACCTTGGAATCCAATGGGAACCTTCTAGCAGAAAGCCAAGTATGTACATTGACCTTCTTACTCGCTTTCATGTGCCATTCTGTCTGTATAATGCATGTCCAGTCAATAATAAATGAATATTTTTCATTCCTAAGTCATGATAGTTGAATTGTAGTATACCTCCTTCCTCTTAAAAAAGATGATCAAACGAGCAACTTAAGGTAATTCTTAATCTGTTTGGGTTGTAGATAGTTCCCCTTCAAAATTCATAAAAATCGCACTCATTTTCTCAAAACAGGAGCAGCTCTTTCTCACATCTCAAGAGTGTTGGGGTTCAAGGGAGGGGGTGAATATTCACCCTCTGGGTTCTAAGCAGTGGAGTGTAGACACTTAGGTGTCAATAAAGTTCCACTGGGGGTCAATAATAGTACAACTGGACCAGGAACTAGCTTAGATCTAGTGTCAAAAAGGAGCTCCCACTCTAATTAAACTTCCCCACCTACCTACCTCTAACTGAACTCACCCACAGGGTCCCATCAGAAAGGCTCAAGAAGAAGCCTCCCCGACAGGTAGCCCTGCCCTAAGGGCCCTTTAAGCCTGGGGACGGGTGGTAGAGGGTAACCCTCTCGTGGGCCAGCAGTGCCAAGAGGGAGCCCAAACAGGACCACAGACCCCACTCAGTGGGAAAAATGCAGCCAGTGACTGCTGGCGTCACTCTCTTCGTTACTCAGAGGAGGGGAAGTTGGAAGCACAGGGCTGAGCTTCCAGGGGCAAAGTATGCAAAGCCCACAGTGGTTTTAGGAGTCCATGAAAAAGTTCAGTTTCTTTAAAAATCAGGATAAAGTCCAACCTGGATTATATTCCTCTTTAGACCAACAAAGTAGTAAAATGCAATTTCTAATACATTTCTTGTGGCATCAGGCAAAAGTGCCGAGGACCCACAAAAGTCATAATGCGATCCTGTGGAAAGAAAGACTGAGGTATTCCCTCAAATTGTTCTCTTAAGTGGAAGTCTGCTCCCCTCTGTGAAAATACCAGACGCCAAAAGTAAAGGTCTCCCTGCCCACCTCAGCTCCCCAAGGAAGAAAAGGACAAAAATCTACTGTAACATTATCCTACATTTTCTACCTTTTTGACGACTATCAAATAATTGTCATTAATGCATAGTGTTATGGAAACTTGAAACAAAATACGTATCCAGGGGCTTCTCAATTCCCTTTATGGGTGTATTAAGTTATCAGTTGATGGGTATATTAAGTCTGGTGGCATTTGGCAAATATCTACAAACTTCCGTTTATTAATATCTTGCTCAGAGTATTTGCTTTCCCAAGGAAACGCATAGTACACATTAAAGGAGGTGTTTTGGGTTTCATCAGCTGGGATAGATGGCCTTAGTATCAGAAAGGAGGAGGGCCAGGTTTATGACCTTGTTTGAGAACCCTGGGGCCTGGAAGAGGCCAGCGCTGGGGTCAGCTGAGAGATGTTACGGAGTTGGGTGAGGGGGTGGGGTGAGAAGTAGGGGTTCAGGACTGATGCCCGGAGTGGTTCCTTCCTAAAATGTTTTATTCCTTTGTGAATTGTTTGTTTAGGAAGATAGTTCTTTAGTTCTGAACTTTGGCTTTTAAAAAATCCATTTGGAAGCCTTTCTTTAAAAATATCTCTGTCTGTGATAGAAAAGAGAAGAGGAAAAAATAAATGAAAAGAACAGCCCATCGTAATATCAGTATGTCAGTCTCTGGCATCTAGGTTGAGTTTGTGATTGTTGTTTAGTTTCAGTGACTTACACTTTTGTTTTGGAATGCTCTCTTTTCCTAAACCTTTGAGCGTAGTGTTCTTCAAGTCTCTGGCCGAACCTCACTTTGAATCTAGCAAATGGAATTATCTCCTATAAATTCCAGTGTGCTCTGCTGGGGAGCCTTCAGTGATGCCTCATGACATGTGTGCGATAAGAGCATCACTGCTCACAGAGCGCACGCTGGCGCTCATCTTGTGTGAGCCCCCGAACCACTCTGGGAGACAGGCAGAGAGGCTGTTCTCCATTTTCAAGGTGGAAACACTGAGACCCAAGAAATACTAAGTCACTTGCCGGCAGGACTTGCCTGTCTGGTAGAACTTGGCCTAGAACTCAGGCTTTTCACTTCCAGACCAGGCTACTTTTCATTAAACATTGGAACTGGGAGCTCAATTGAGTTTTCTGAGTTACAAAAATGAAGAGAGTGACAGTTTTATTTCTCACCAGCTGTTGTCTTAGGAAACAACCTATACTTCCAAAAGGATATAAAGAAATACTGATTGAATGGAAATAGATTTTGTTTGGTGAGACTTCACATTCTGTATCTACATGACATGGAATTGGGAATAAGGAATTATCTCAAGACTTGCAGTGCAAATTAAAGATGTGACTTTTGTTGTTTTTCTCTTCTTCTGTTGCTTCTTCTTATTTCATTGGACTAGAATGTGACTGCACAGAATCCTGGGGTGGCTGTATCATGGAGGAAACAGGGTAAATTTTCATTATTTGTGCCTTTAATATATGCTTTTCACTGACATTGCTGCATATAATTAGATACACTGTCTCTCAGGTACTGATCTTTTAGGCTCAGCCCTCAGTATAAATTCAATCATTAATTATCTGATATTTTAAAAATGAAAGGACTGATTCACCTTATATTTTAATTTTTTATAAAGTTGTTGGTAAGAGTAAAATATAGTAACAACTTCTATTTCTATTAACCTTTAAAAGAAGCCCATTATTAAATGCTTCTAAGTTTAGTAGATACATTAATTTTTTAGTGCACTTAGACTAAGAGCTGGTTGTCTGCCTGAAGCAGTCAGTGAAAGTCAATTTTGTCATCAATTTATATTTTAAGGAACTCACAAATAGATATGTTTGCTCTAGTAAAAATTGTACTACACTGCTTATATGATCCATACAGCTTTTTTTTTTTTATTAAGACAGATTTATTGTGTCTAAATTAGGTATCATCTCTTGATAGACATTTGAACATTTTCTCAACTATCTCCTCTCTTGTGAGGATACTTGGAGAACTAGAGTCACTGCCCCGGAGCTGCTATTGGCATCTGTGAACCAAGGCCTGGAAACATTGCCCCACCCCCCCCACTCCCCCAGCCCCTGCCCCTGTGGGGGCCATTGACCCAAGGCTCCCTAAGCTAGAGCCCACTCCTACTAGACGTAAGAGGCTGTCTCACTCAGCTTCTCTCCTGTTTCTTCTGCACATGCCAGAGATCTGCTCAATACATTGCCTGTTTCTGGTCCTCTCCCTCTCCTGAGGAGCCCCAGTGGCCAGAGGCTCTGACCTACTTGTACAGAGTCCCTTCTTTACGCTCCCACAAGGAGTCCTGCTCCTGGCGGAAAAGAGGAGTGTGATCATGAGGGATTGCAGAGAGAGTCAACCATTCTACCTGCTGCTTTAGAACATGTTTCTAGAAATGTAGTTTAAACCTGAAACTGTAGACCTTCATGTTCCCGTTACTGTTCTACCACAGTTTAGTAACATTATGGCTTAAACAGCATTTTTGCGGACTACTATAGGAAGGTAACACCATTTATAATATTGCTTCTATAGGGAGGCACCTTCTGTCTTCTAAACTCCCAATTTCTTTTTTTTTTTTTAAAGATTTTATTTATTTATTTGACAGAGAGAGACACAGCGAGAGAGCGAACACAAGCAGGGGGAGTGGGAGAGGGAGAAGCAGGCTTCCCGCACAGCAGGGAGCCCGATGCCGGGCTCGATCCCAGGACCCTGAGATCATGACCTGAGCTGAAGGCAGACGCTTAACTCCTGAGCCACCCAGGTGCCCCAAAACTCCCAATTTCTAAATGGATTTTTGGACTGGCCACCCAGAGGATAGAATAAAACTATTTCAAGCTAATATATATATTTTCTCAAGTATACATTTCTACATAGTTCCTTTAAGAGATCACTATCAACAATGGCAAAAACTTTTCCAACTTCCATATACTACCCTCATGCATCAGGGTACAAGAAACTTGAGGATTACATCCTAGAATCCATGGCCTGTCGCTCTCAAATCAAGTACTATAACAAATATGCCCAAGGAATCAGTGTATGTGATTCAGTTTAACTTTGACCGTGTGTATAATATCTCCCCAGGTACTGACATAGAGATAGTAATTGGATTAATTAAATCACAAAGAGGCTCATATCATATTCCTAAGTCATGAATATATTTGAGGTTGAGCCTAAAAAGCTATTATCTAATTCTAATTCTGTTTTTACCGAGTGTATATGTGCTAAAAACATATATACATATATATGTATATATAGTCATGTATATACATGTTTGTGTCTATGCATATATAGTATAGTATAATACTTCTCTTCCCTTGATTTCCTTGTTTGCCTCATTGGTGTTGCTGAAGTCTGCATTATATAATCTTTAATAGATTGACCCTCACAATTCCTTCCTCCAAAGTAAAATCTAGTAGGTTCCTTTGCATCTTTTATTCAGGACAGAGGCAAAAAATGCTTGCCTTTACTGAGACAGAGCAAACAAAAATGACCACACTTTAAAATATAGCTTAGGTGGAGAAGTTTTGTGATAAGCTTTCCAAAACTCTTCCAAGCCCAGGCACAGAAGGGCTTGGTTGCTGAGGAGGTTATAACCTGGCTCCCAATCTGTGGTTTTCTTTGACTATCTATTTTTACAAATTCTACCACACATACTTATTCGGCAATTTGAACATAAATGCCTTGTCATAACCTGTGTGGAATCATCTAGATCCAGAGTGAACATGTTGTTCTAATTCAAGGGTTTTAATTTTCTTCTCTGATGCCTGCTTTTGGTAAATTATTTACATAATTGATTCTTTATTTTCTCAGGGTGTCGCATTCCCGAAAGTTCTCAAAGTGCAGCATTTTGGAATATAGAGACTTTTTACAGAGAGGGGGTGGAGCCTGTCTTTTCAACAGGCCGACAAAGGTTAGTAACTCAGAAAGTGTAATTATTTCTTTAATTTTTTTTGCTTCCAAGACATTTGTTTAATGTACATAACACTTATGAAAGCAATAGCGTTTGAAATCATATACAGCTCAGATCTGCTCAGAATCCAGTCACAAATCTCTTATGGGAAAAGACTTAAAAGCCATTCTTGCATTTCACTCTGTGAAATGTTGAAAAGTAGCTCCGTGACTTAATAAAATGAGATGCAAAAAGACATATCTTTTTACAACGGAACACTGCCAAATGTCAGATACTTGTCTTGGAAAACAGGTCTTTTTGGGGAGGAGGGGATTTGTCAATCAGATTAATATTTAGTCATAAAAGCCATTATCATGTTGAACCCTGGTCCTGTTTAAATGCATGATAAAACTATAGTTTTGCTGCTTTGAATCTGATTTTTCAGTGCTATCTGTACCCCTCCCACTTTGTTCTCCAAACAAAGAAACAAACATGCTTCAGTCAAAATATATTTGAAATTTACATGTTAGGATTTTCATCCTGCTGCTTAGAGATTGTGGGTTAGATTAAGATACATTGCTTTAACCTGTTTCTCTGAGAAAAATTCCATTTTCCATTGATATTCTAAAAGTATAATTAGTTTCCTGGCTTTTTTTTTCTTTTTAAGTGGTCTATTCTCCTAGACAGGAAGCATTACTAATATCAGCTAGCCAAAAGTAGCCCAAAGTATTTATGGATCTCATAAATACATTTTTGTATTTATTATTTATTATATAGTCTCTTTATGTGGGAAGGTCCGTGGTGTCGACTGGCATTTCATCAAGATTCATATATACATTATCACAATCCTTATCCATAATTCCTTAACTCAAAAAGCTCTGAAAATTTGAAGTCTTTTTTATGAGTTTGCAAAAAACACGTCAGGCAGTAAAACTTGTCTTGGACTGAAAACCTTTATTACCCCTCGTAGTGTAAATATTCATAAGTATTACTGCAGACATAGAAATGTTTTTGATTATAGGGTGTGCACCAGGCCCCTTAGGGCTATTACATGGAACACTGTAAATGTATCATACTTTTTTAAAATGTAGCAAAGCCAGAATTTTCAAACTCACTGGCTACAAAGCTTTTGCGTAAGGGACTGTGGACCTCTAATAGCGTATTTAGAAATGAATCGCTCAACAGACAAAAAGACAGGATTGCTGCTAATTAGCAGATGGTATAGAAACTCTAACATTGCATATCTCATATTTCTTTTGGAAAATACTACTTAATAAGTCAAATATAGTCCATTTGCTATACAAAATGTTTAATGCTCTATGAATTGAGAGAGCAGTGAAATCATGTTAACCTTCAGAAAAAAAACCAGTGACTAATGTGGATAACTGACAGAATAATTTACTCCTAGCCTCATAATTAAGTGATAGCCCTGTAGTCAGGGGATGGTAGTTGGATGCCTGACATCTGTATAAAATCTCAGTGAGTCTGCAGAAAAAGAAACGGGAATTTTAAAGTGACCTTGCACCATTAAATTCAGCCGCCTGCCTTTCATGACATTGATCTCAGTGCAACAGAAAGCTGAAAACTTCAAAGTGGGGGAAATGAGTAGTAATGATTGACGTGAGCTGCTGACATTTATGAATTGGAGTATACATGACTAATTTCACCTGCCTTGCGTCTCACCAGCCAATTAGAAGCATTGTGCCTGAGAGCACAACACTGAGTCCTAAGGTTTCTAGTGTGTGTGGAGGATCCATCATTAGATTTCGGAAATTGCCAGTGAGTAGAAAGAAAATTATTCTGATAACTTGGAAACTAAATGAAAATAATGATACATCTTCAATTTTAAAAGTTAGTAAATATGGATTTTTTTAATCTACATGGCAGAATGATTTTTCTTTAAAAGCCTCTATGGATTCTAGTGGAATAGTTTGTATGTATGTATCAAAGAACTGACTTTTTTTTTTCCAAGTGCTTTTAGTCAATGAATGTATGCATACGTGGTTTACATGCTATATTCCACATTATCTGCATGCCTCTTTTCTGCGCTGTGGGACCCTTCCCACCTGCTATGTTTTCCACCTGTCGCTGGATGGAAGAAGGCTCCTAAGAGTGAGCTCTAGCAGCTGGTTCCATGCGAGGCCTGATAGGAGAGTGCTAGCCATGTTCCAGTCTGAGCTTCCCATTTCCACTTTCTCCGGCCTGCTGATAAAATACCACAGAGATCAGGACTGTTGATTTCACTTATTGGACTTTCCTATGGAGGAGTCTCACCCCAATATGCTGGAAAACTTTCTTGCTTTGAATAAGAGCTTTGCCTTACTGGAAGTGGAAGGAGAATCGGGTCTTTCTCAGATGGACTCGGTGGAAGGCAACCCTTCCTTGGGATCCCTGGAGGAGGAGTCTCTCTTACCCTCTCATATTCCTGTCTTTGAGCATTTGGGTTGGAATGTGCTGTTCCAGTCTTCATCCAAGAATGATGGGCATGCAAATGGAGATCTTGCCCCAGCTGAGGGAAAATAGGAATATTTCTCATAAACACTCAACTGCTGGCACAGTTGATTGCAATATAGTTTGTCTGGGAAGCAAGTTCATAGCACTAGTAGAGTGGATTATTCTAGAAATCTGACTCTTCCATTGCTCCAGGAATAACTGAGAGATTTCTATACATCCGTGCATATGTCTGCACGTTTATTTAACATGCCTTAAACAGTGCAGATTTATTTTCAATGCGAATGATGGGCATGGATTTCCAGCAGCACCTTTTCTACGCTTATTTGCATTTCCTTGATTGTATTTGTTACATTTGGCTGTGACTGAAACATTTTTATCTTTCTGACAGTTTTTGTGTTTTCTCAGCTGCCTGGAGATGAGTCAGTAAATTAGATATCTGTGAGTCTTAGCATTGCATCTTAGCTCCATTAGCAAATATGATAAATGATCTATTCCTTTTGACAGTTTATTTCCATTAATAAGTAATTCTAATGGTAGAGGTCATCTCTGGAGCCCACCTCCAGAGAATCCTCCAAGAAATAGTACCCCATTTGGAATACGGTTTTTAGAAGTGTTATTAATAAGTGAACAGTGTTACCCACACAGACATCATTTGTAAGGTGCCGTTAACAACAGATCACAGAAGAATTTCACATGATAGCAGATTATAGGACCATGTATGTGGCCCTACTGGTGTGTTGATTTTCTGTGATAAATTAAAACATTTTTCCTTTCTCTTCCTAATCTCTTTTAGCTATTTGAGCCCACAGAATGTGGAAATGGGTATGTGGAGGCTGGAGAGGAATGTGACTGTGGTTTACACGTGGTAGGTATAAGAGATCTTTCCTACCTTCAACACAGCTCCTCCCCAGAGCAAACAAGAATAGCAGGAAGCCTACAGGGTCCTTCTCTGTGGTCTTACTGCCTTTCTTTCTCGTCTCTCTCATCAGTGCTTAGTCCCAGCTCAGACATGTTAGAATTAATCATGTTCTTATGGCCTTGTTTGAAAAAAGCCTAATGGGTTCTTCTAAGCAAATCTCCTACCTCTTAAAAATTCATAGCTCATATTCAGCCCATTCAAATTTTACCAAATCATGAAATAGTCTTTCCATGGTGTGTATTATTTTTGTCTTTATAAAACTAGATAGTCTTGGGGCCCCTGCCTGGCTCAGTCAGTAGAGCCCGGGACTCTTAATCTTGGGATTATGAGTTCAAGCCCCATGTTGGGTGTAGAGATCTTAAAAATAAAATATTTTTAAAAATCCAAAACTAGATAGAGTCTTAAGAAGGTATTGGAGCTAACCGAAGGTGAGGTGCTTGCTAAGAAATAAGCTTACTTTTTAGTAGAGAAGCCCTCTCACAGAAGATCATACTTTGCTGGAAAATACGGCAGGAAGGAATTTTATCATTGTTTAAAGTGATTACTTCCTGAAATATTTGCTTGTTATTGTATAAGTCTCCTCATGTGGATTATAAGTCACATGTGGAGAGAGGGTTGAATGACTAGCCTGTAAGCTTTCTCACTTACTCACGTGAAGTGTTTCCTCTAGGAATGCTACGGATTGTGCTGTAAGAAATGCTCTCTCTCCAACGGGGCCCACTGCAGTGATGGGCCATGCTGTAACAATACCTCATGTCTCGTGAGTCAACTGACACTTTTGCCTTCCTTTTCATCGACATGTTAGCTACATCTCTCAATGTGTGCAGAGTATTTGTAGACCTTGCCACACATTTGTTGATTGACCATGTGCCTCGTAATTTTGTAGAATCAACAAAGCTACCTAAATTCTGTGGGTCAAAGCATTTACCTTTACTATGATGCACTATCAACTATCCTATCTTTCAATGCCTCCTTAAGAAAATATACACATACTCCTTCCAAAATAAACATTGAGAGTTGTCCTGCTAATGCAGATGAAAACCACTTTAAATGGTTGAATAGAAGAGGGACAATTTCTGTGGTCTATTTAATAATATGACCTACTTATAATATTTTTCTTTAAGTTTATTACTATGTATATGTACATTTATTTTGGACCACGAACCTAAAACCTAGTGCTCACATTTTTTATGCTTGGGTTTAAAATCCCCCTATAAAGGCAAGAAAGCTGGATAAAGAAGTAATCTATGTGTGTATATTTATATGTGTATATATACATCTTATGTGTGTATGGACACAGTTCATTTCCCTCTGTAGAATCTCCAGTCAATTTTTGAAAAGTCATTTTTTAAATCTTCCTTTTTCTCATTTACTAAACCTCTAATATTCCTTATAACCCATTGGGTTACATGATTTTATTATTTTATTCAGTACAAAGAAGTATTAAGCATTATGGTATTTTAAAGAAATTCTAGCTTAGTTGCCTTATGTTCCCCACCAGACTATAAATTGCTTGACATCAGTGGTCTTTTTCCTTCATCTTTTACCCACCCCCTCAGTGTGATTGGTGTCACTGAAAGGAGTTCATATGAATTCACTGAAATTTGATTGTATATATTTAGCTAAAGCAAGATTAAGATCCAAGCTAATAGGTACACTTAGTGAAGGTTGGGTGTGTATATCAATCTTCAGAGAGATCTTAAATGTTTATATTTTAGTGATTTGCTCTTTTGTTTTAAACCATACTACTCTATCTTCTTTACATAATTGCCATTACCTTGTTTTCCAAAAGTAATACTCTGAAACCGTGGGTTTTGAAATCTGAACATTTAATGCCTTGGTTAATGATTCATATTTACTACAGAGAGTGGTATCTGGGCCTTGTCTCTATTCTGCAACTATCTTGCTAATTCATAAAAAGAGTTTGGTAATGGTTATGAGAGAGTGTCTGAATTATTGGTGAATATAACAATGCTAGCTATTTGAAATACTAATTAACACGAGCTCCTAATATTGAATTTTGATTTGCAGTTTCAGCCACGAGGGTATGAATGTCGGGATGCTGTGAATGGGTGTGATATTACTGAATATTGTACTGGAGACTCTGGCCAGGTATGACAAACTGAGTTTTTAAATAATACATTTTACTTGCAAATATTGTACACATTGGAAAGCTTTCAATTGGGCTACATGTATGAATATGATTTGGTTTCTTTGTTTTTTGTTTTGTTTTACTTTGTTTTCCAGTAATTTCTAGATCTCCACTATGCCTTTCTTTTAGGAACATTTATTGTGTTTCCTGGACCTAAATCTCTTTTTTCTTCCAAATTTCCCCTTCCTAATTAGTTCCCTTTATATGGTTTCTACCCAACAAATTGATTTTTCTTTCTGTCCCCACATCTAAAATAGTATATTTGCACTGATGAAGAATTAATGTACTGTTTTTCAAACATTTTTAAGCCACCAAGCCCTTTCTTCTAAGAAAAAATTTGTGGGATGCCCACCATAGCAGAGAACAAGGAACATTGCTCTGATTGAAGAGGGATCGGGAGCAGGTGTCCACCTCTCTCAGTTCTGTCTCCAACTCTCCTCCACTTACATTGTCCTAGCATCATGCCGCATATGCTTTGGTGTGGTCTTCTTCACATTAGAAATTACTATAACATAATTAATGCCATCTACTAAGATTCCTTTTTTATATAATTTTTATGTTTTAAAAATTTATATCGTATTATTTTAAGTCTTCATTTTTCATTCAAATGGGCATTTACTGAGCACCTGCTGTGTGCCAAGCACTGCTATAAATATTGGGATATGGTAGGGAACGAGATAGGCAAGTCCTTGCACTTAGGGAACTTACATTCTGCGGGTGGAGAAATAAGTCAACAAAAACATCCGGTGGTGCTAAGTGCTAAGTGTAATGTAAGGTGATGTGGGATATGGGGTGGGGGGGGCTTTAGGTGGGGTGCTCAGGTATATTTTCCTGGAGGAGTTGGCATTTAAGTAGAAAGGCACAGAAGGAGCTAGTCAGAAAACAGTAAGTAAGGAAGCTTGGCTTCTTCAAGAAATGGAATGAAAGCAGGGATTACTGGAGAGTAGTGGGAAAAAATCAAGAGGAAGTCAGGAATCAAGGCAGTTAGGGAATAGGTAAGAATTTTGGATTTCATTCTACTTTTATTTTTTCTCTGACATGACTTCAAAAACATGTTCCTGTACTGTTACTCAGTTTTTATAAATACCCTTTTTACAATTGCACGAGAGTCATGTGGATTCATCAGTTGACTTGTGATTTGTTATCCAGTGGTGGATATTTAGGTTGCTGGCGGTTTTTCATTATTGTAATTAATATGGCAATGAACATCTTTTCTTTATGCATCTTCAAGAGTATTTCTTGTTCAGGATTCGCTCCTTAGGATAAATTGCCCAGAAATAATGGAGTTATCTGTTGCCAGGTTTCTAAGGGACTCCCCATAAATAGAGTACAGTTGGAGGTCAAAATACTATTTTTCATATTGAATATGGCCAAGTTGAAAGCCATAACTTAGTGTGAGAACTAAATGAGCCTCTTTATAGGTCCTAGATTCAGGCTGTAGGAACAGGTTATTGACAAAAGTGGGTCTGGAGCGACTTCTCCTTGCAGAGATGGGCCGTTGTCTTGTATGTCTTGGAGGAGCAGCGAGAGTAGTATGATTTATGTGAGTAGGCAAGAGAAGAATGGCAGAACCGAGCCAAAGGGCCAGTCATTCTTCCCAGGTTTGTCAGTCATTTGGTCACTCTACCTGCCTCAGGGGGCATGGAGTGTAGGAGCGGAATAGCTGGAGGGACCCTGAGTTCCCTTCATTGGGAAAAAACAAGAGGAGAGGGAGACAAAGGTTTCTAACTAACCTTTTTGGAAGTTCTTGATGTATGATTTATCTGAGATGCAATTCAAAGGGACCCTTTTAAGGATGTGATACAGTGAAATATGTTCAGGCTATTCTTTATTGATTTTTATGCATATCTGTTTCTTCTATTTATATATGTAAATGGGTTTCTTTGCAATTTTCCTAGAATACAGTAAAAGAGTGTTAGAATTGTGGGTTTTGTGTTTTATGCCAAGTTTTATGTTTTGTGACAATCCTGGTATGCTGTTTCACTGAGTTATATTTTTAGTTTTATAGAATACTACTATTCTTATAGCCATCATATATAGTTTTGGTTCTGTGTTTCAGCTCTTTTTGAAGTACAGTTTTTTCATTTCAGCCTTTAATTCCTGAATTGCCATAGAATTTACTGGAAGTAAGGCTTTTATAATGAGGGCTCTATGTTCAACTTAATATTCTAGTGTCTAAGTTTTTAAAACATTCTTTTTTTACAATTTTATTTATTTATTTGAGAGAGAGGGAGTGCGAGTGAGCAAGAGCAAGCAGGGGGCCGGGGGCGAGGGAAAGGGACAAGCAGACTCTGCACTGAGCATGGAGCCCGATGCGGGGCTCGATCTCAGGGTCCTGAGACCATGACCTGAGCCAAAATCAAGAGTCAGACGCTTAACTGACTGAACCACCCAGGTGCCCTAAAATGTTCCTTTTGCCTCATATATATATGTAAGGGGAAAATTGCACTGTTAAATTAATTTCTAAGTGGCATATTAGAATAGCATGTTCTTTTAGCAATAATTTCCTTATATGACCAGAATGTGCCTTAAATAGATAATTGGAGTAGAGGGAGTTAGGATCCCCCAGAATTCTTCTGCTTTGTAACAGGCAGTGAGCCTTGAATTTAACTGATACTAATTATGATTAGGAAAAAGGGGATCTCAGAGAATCTCTGCGTCTCTGAGAATTAGTCTCATTGGCAACATTATGACTTTATGCCTCGTATCTCATGTCTTTGTTTAATTTTGATCTTAGCCTTTACTGATGCCTCTGAGCTACTTTTTAAAATCACAGTTTATCACGGAATAAACAGTACTTGTGCCACTGAGAGAAATCCTTGGCAAACGATACTGGATGATATAATAAAGGTATTTTTGAAAGATGTGGAAAATGTATCTTGTTAGCGCTATAAAAGATGCCGTCTATATGGGTGGCATAACACAATTAAAAATAAGCACATTTAAATGCTACCGCACTGTTGAAGGCTGCCTCCTGTGAACTTTCCTGCACAGCCTGAAACTGGGGGCTGGGAGGGCATTTAGAGACCGAATCTAGAGCTCTACTCACAGGTAGAGCAAAGCACGCAGATTTATGGTTCTTCTGTTTTAAATGTCCCCAGAGAATGTAAGACATTCCATAATTCCCCATGTTAAACATTTCAGTGATAAGCAACTTGCTTTTATTAGCCTAAACTAAAAATAAATTGATTAGAAATCTTGCATGTAGCTGTAACAGTTTATAATCAGGGCTTTTTTTTTTTAATTAGTAAAGAGTTCTACAGAAAATTTTTTTATTGAAACATCACAAAAGTCAACTGTGATAAATTAATTTTAGACCCTGATATACCTGTTCTAGTAGCAACATTTCTTTTGCATTTTTGTTCGATGTGATTGTATTCATCTCGGAGTAAGTGAATAATTACTGTTAGTTGATTAATAAGATACCGATTGCATCTGGAGTGGATGTGGATGGATGAAGGAGCCCATGAGGATCTGTTTCTATGCTCTTGGCCCAAGTAGGCCAGGTTTTGGTGCTGATAATGTATGTCCTTTGAGTAGTCACCATCAGATTGATTGAAAAGCTGTAGTGAATGAAGGCTTATATGAAAGTCAGTTATTCTTTAGAAAGATGTAGAACCAAAGCATTTTATCTCAAAGTGTTCCTTTTATTAGTGCTTCTTAGCAATTGCGAATTCTAAATTAGTTCTATTACCTTTCTGTAGTGAACTTGATAAACAGCTTGATATGTGCAGACCAGAGTAACTTTTTTTAAAAAGATTTTATTTATTTGAGAGAGAGCACGAGTGGGGCGGGGGAGGGTCAGGGAGAAGGAGAAGCAGACTCCCTGCTGAGCAGGGAGCCCAATGCGGGGGCTCCATCCCAGGACCCTGAGATCATGACCTGAGCCGAAAGCAGACGCTTAACCAACTGAGCCACCCAGGCGCCCCAGAACAGAGTAACTTAATTGTGTCTGCATGGGTCATTCATTTATTTATCCAGTTAACCAATAGTAATTGAGCACTTACTCAGTAATAATTGAGCCCGGTTTTGTTCCAGCTGCGAGGGAGGCAACAGGGAACCACGCATACAACCCCTGCCTGTGTGGGATGGGGACAATAGACAAACAAATAAGTAACGTATATGAGTATAAGGTGATAGGTTCTATGGAGAAGGAAAACACCAGGAAATGGGGAACGGAGAATGCCAACATGGGAGGGCTTACAGTTTTTGAGAGCAAACCGTGCAGAAACCTGGGGGAAGATCGAAGGAAGGGCAAGGGCAAAGCCATGGGGTGGGAAATGTGCCTGGCACGCTGGCAGAGAGTCAGCTCAGGCATGGCAGAGCAGGGATGAGGTCAGAGAGAGGATGGAGTTGGGGGGACGGCAAAGTGAGGATCATGTTGAACTCTGACGTTGGGAAGCAGAGGAGCAACATGATGTGATTTATGTGTTTAGAAGGACACTCCAGTAGCTGAATAGGGATGGAAGCAGGGCAATCAGTTGGAGGCTGCTGCATAATTCAGGTGAGGGATGATGGCGGATTGGAGTGGGGGTTGGCAGGGGAGATGGACTAAAGTGGTCAGATTGTGATTCTAGTTTGAAGGTAGGCCTGGTAGGATTGATTGACAGACTGGAAGGAGGGTGTGAGAATAGCAGAGACAGAGGATGACTTCATGGTTTGGGACCTGACCAATGGGAAAAGCGGAACAGTCCTTTACTGAGAAGGCGAAGACCGTTTCTTACTCACTTGCTATCCCTGTATATTGTATATATATTTTATGTATATATATTTTGTATATATATTCTTTTTTGCATATTTGCTTTGAACACTGTACTAGAGCCTTTGACTTGAACCGTCTTCAACTCTCTCAAATGTGGCAAATAAAATGCATAGAGAGTAAAAGTTTTAGTTCATTCAGAGTAACTTTTTGGGGAAATGAAGTGTACTTTTAAACAATGACTTGATAAACAGACCTGGAAAAAGAAATGACCATCCCATCACAATTGTTCTAGTAGCACGTCTGTAGTTGGAGAGGTCAGAGGCATAATGGAGATGCAGCACTCACCTTGAGTTGAGAGACTATTTTTTTCTTTTTCAATAATGTGGCCTAGAGGTGAGTGTCAGGGGTGTCGAATGCATATTTGACACTTCCCAGGGCTGAGAAAGGTCCTGTGAGTTAGTTCCCAAAATGTGTCCACTCCTACATAACAAGCTGATTCATGCCCTTCGTTGTCCGTTTTAATTCCTTCTACTTTTGACTCTGTACGCAAGTGAATGTAAGTTCCTATTTTAGTCTACCTCATGGAAATCAGAGAAGTAAAAAGTACTCACTGCATGGATGAATTTATTATTTTTACCAGTAATAGAAGAAGTAGTTTGGATAACTACTTAAGAGGTTACTCATGTTTTTGTAGACATTCCCAATTACATATTCACCATGCTTGCTTTTTTTTTCATATTTATATGTTGTACGCATAAGGTGAAGGTACTTATGTTGAACATTAATGAAAAACATTGTATTTTTCAGTGCCCACCAAACCTTCATAAACAAGATGGATATGCATGCAATCAAAATCAGGTATGCCGGGCTATAAGTTTTCAATGTAATTTTAAAAGGACTAGTTTGTGAGGTTTTTTTTTCCTTTCTGATGACTATATCTTCAAAGGGAAATCGCAACTCAAAGAACCATGCATTATTGCAATGGACTTCTAATTCCGTGTTGCTTCGTGGCATATTAAATACTAAATCTAGTATGATATTTAACTCTGGTGACAAATTGTCCAGATTGAGGGCAAAGAAAAAATATAATGACTAAGGAATTAGGAATCTAATTTATTGAGTTGTGACCGTCTTTCAATAACATCAGCCTCTTATGGGAAAATATGACTGTTATAATGTGCTATCGTGTGTGATGATGTGGGTTTTGTCTTTTCTGAAGCCATGTTATGATGTAACATTCATACCCCAAAGAAGCTAAAAATCATTTTGGAATCGCCTGAGGAAGTGTACCAACGTTTGTTTTCCATAAAATTTAAAATTTCAGAGGATTAGTGTTGACTTAAAGAGCTGTACTCTGAAGTCTGTTCTGAGTTTTAGAATTTAACTGTCTGTTGTGCTTCCCTTAAGATGTTTGTGATTTTTATTTTCACTGTGAAAATATTTGGGCATGGAGTGAAAAAACAAATCAACTTATCCAAATAACAACAAAAGGAGACCTTGCAGTGCAAATCTGCGGGCAAGGGAGCTGGCTGCGTGGGCCTCCTAACATGTGTCCCTGTCCCCAGGGCCGCTGTTACAATGGAGAGTGCAAGACCCGGGACAACCAATGTCAGCACGTGTGGGGGACAAGTAAGTCGCGTTTTCCTGCTTGGTGATTGCACACGGTTTTTCTGGGTTTTATCCTGCTCTGCCAGTCTTGCTGAAGACAAGGACAGCTTGGAGTGATGTTTTTATTTTATTGTATTTTTTTAAAGATTTATTTATTTTAGAGAGAGAGAAAGGGGGAGGGGCAGAGAGAGAGGGAGAGAGGGTCTCATGCAGACTCCATGCTGAGCAGGGAGCCCCATGCAGGACTCGATCCCACGACCCCGAGACCACGACTTGAGCCAAAACCAAGAGTTGGATGCTTTAACCGACTGCATCACCCAGGCGCCCCTGAAGTGATGGTTTTTAAAAAAAATCCAGAAAAGGGTGAGACTAAAGAGAGCTGTGAATCTCAGTCACAAAAACCACAGCAAACAGCCGTTGAAGCTGGGGACTTGTCATCAGAACCAAGCCGTGTCGCACAGTGATGGGGCCGTCAGAGAGGGGATGTCACATGCACCTGCAAAGATTGGGTTCAGTGTGGCAGTCACATTATTATCCAGCCACTTGTGTGAATCACTCTGTACCTTGGGTTTAACCACTATCCCTCAGGTTAGCCTTTCGTTCCTTTACCTCAGGGAAGTACCAGACTTACTTTTAAAATTCTGTAGTTTTACCATCTCAATTTGAAAGGAAGAAATGCAGGTCCTTCCTGAGGTGCAGACCCAGAGATTTGGGTACATGGTCCTGGCTCTCGGTACAGTCCCTAAATGTTTTTTTTTTTTTAAGATTTTAAGATTTTTTAAAAAAAATTTATTTGAGAGAGAGAGAGAGAGAGCAAGCGAGCATGAGCAGAGGTGGGGGGGAAGGGAGAAGCAGACTCCCTGCTGAGCAGGGAGCCTTGATGACCAGGGGCTCTATCCCAGGACCCCGGGATCATGACCTGAGCTGAAGGCAGATGCTTAACTGACTGAGCCACCCAGGCGCCCCAATGCACTTATTCTCTTCCTGACATTTACAGTGCCTGTCCTGTAAACGTCAGTTCATGGGGGCCAGACCACAGCAGACAGAAATGTCTGTCTTGCTGGCTGAGACTGGGTCACCCCCAAAGGAAAAGAAAGCACACGAGATAACAGAGCCCCTGCAGGAGTGATTTCAGTGTTTGGCAAATATCATGTAACTGAAAGATTTACTTTCAGTGCTTCAGTTTTGAAAGAGGAAAGATAATAGAGGCATATTTGTCTTTTAAAAGGTTTAAATACCAAAATCCAAGTGTCGGCATAAAATCTTAATTGCCTAAGACTTTATAATATCTTTTAATACTCTTGTAAAACAGGCCTAAGAATCTTTCTTCGTTTTCTAAGTGCCACTTCCCTAATTCCTGCTGATGACCCCTTCCTCCCTCCCTCCCTCAAACCCACCAACAAGAATTGAAATCAGTTTGTTTCTTAAGTTAAAAACAGCAGTGCGTGGGAGCTGTCTTGGAGTAGCTTGCAAGAGCCAAGTGTGAGGTTTTGAGGAACTTCAGAAGCCTGTTGCCATCACATTGATAGCTTGAAATTAGCCATGTGTTACACCGCGGAAATTGACACTATGGTATTTACACCATGGAAATTGGCAAATGCTAAGAGGGGATTTTTTTTTTTTTTCTTTTTCTGGAGAACCAGTTGTTAAACATTTACCATTGGTGCTGCTGGTTGTGCATAACAAAGACAACTAAAACACATTGTCTTCTTGTGCTCTGCTCCAAAAGAGGCTTCCGGGTCTGATAAGTTCTGTTATGAGAAGCTGAACACAGAAGGCACTGAGAAGGGAAACTGCGGGAGGGACGGAGACCGATGGATCCAGTGCAGCAAACAGTGAGTGGTCAGCTTTGGGGGCACGATGAGTGATTTGGAAGCCCTGATTGAAATGTAAATTGACCACGAAATAAATGTTACTGATTTTTAATAAATACTCAACTATTTAAAATTTTACAGTATGTATTTCAAAAAATACGTTAGTATATCTAGAAGCAAATTGCTGTGGACCAAGCTGTTAACTGTGGCATAGACTCACACCATTTCGTAAACTTCAGAACATTTCTCGTATGTTGTATTTTACTTGATGCTTGTTTTGAAAAGACACTTTGCTAAGGTATTATAAAATGCTCTTAGGTCTTAATTTTCTACTTTTGCTGGAACATATGGCCTATGAATGTCCTAGTATACACAGAGCTCTACAAGCAAAATATGTAGACTATATATTTGGGGGACAATTAAAATGAAGTAATACATATTTTTGATTTTTCTGTGAGTGCAATACCATTTGATGTAATTAAACATCTCATGTCCATATCAGATTTTTTTTCTCCTTCTATAAAGCATCTGGTAAGTGCATTCTGGAGGCATCTTTACTCAGGAAATGAGATATTTTCAGAGTACGTTGGTAATATTTTCCCTGGATTAGTCGAGGAACATTAAAATTGTGATTTAATAGTTTATTAAGGTTAACTCAATGACATGGATCTATAGGCCCATCAAGTTATGGGTCAAATTTCCTTCATTATCCTTCCATAACAATGAGGATTCTCACAATTCTGAAGCAGAGCAAGGATTTAAAGAAGTTTCATTTTTCTTGTGTTTCCTGAAACTTTGCTATTCCATGCAGCCTTTGATGGTGGATGAGGCTGACGAGGCAACAAATCTTTGACCATAGTTTCTTTAAAATTAAACCAAAATAATAGAACAGATCTTCCCACCTCATGTCTCACGAGTGAGGCACAGATGTTCCAAAATACTGATCCTCTGTCTGAGGTAACAGAGACCAGGAGGAAGTGGGGCCTAAAGTATTAAAAATCCATGTGGTCGGACACCTGGATTTCATTAGCTTCATTAATTAGCTTAATGTCCTAGACAAACCTGATCATTTCTCTGTGTCTTTGTCCCTTCAAAAAGTTTGGGAGGCATTAGATTGGATCATTGTATAAAAGGTAGCTTTTGACTATCTAGTAACAGAATATTCAACCACCACTGAGTTAAAGAAAATTAATGCGTGTTTTCTGAAATGTTCAAAAGTTGGGAGATGCAACATATAAGCAGAAACGTGAATAATACACAAATATACAGTTTGCCAAATAATTATTACATGAGCTCCCATGTCACCCCCTACCTGGATCAAGAAACAGAACTCGCAGCATCCCAGAAAAATGTATCCTTCCCCACAAGGTGCTCTCATCTTGCTCCTGGAGGTACTACCATCCTGACTTTTGTGACAATTACTTGCTTGCCTTTTAGAGTTTGGCTGCCTTGGTTTTCCTCCCTAAACAATATATTTTGCCTAAAAGTTCGGTATAGCATTTGGGAATCATACTTCATGTATTATTTTGTATTTTGCCTCTTAAGTTCAGCATTTGAAGCATCTCACATGGTGTGTGTCACTCTTCATATTTATTGTTCATTGGTTTTACTATCATTTGTATTCACGCTCACATACCATGATGTAGCTCTCCACTCCGTGTTAATCGTCATTTAGGTTGTTTCTGTGTGTTGGCTTGTTAGGAACGACGCTGCCGTGGGTATTCTTGTACATGTAACTTAGTGCACATTCGTAGACATTCTCCTAAGACCTATACCTAGAAGAAAAATTGCTAGGTCAGAGGGTATGTGTATTTTCAGTGCCACCAGATGATGTCACGATTTTCTAAAATGGGTGTGCTAGCAAACCCAACCATCAATAATATGCATATGGGAATTTTGTGGAATCACATACTGAACCAGCACTTGGTATTATCAGACTTTTTACTTCTCTCCATTCTGGTGGGTATAAACTGCTATATTATTGTGGTTTTAATTTGCATTTCCCTGGTTACCAGTGGAATTTAGTAACATTTTCATGCATTTATTGGACATGGATTTTTCTCTCTCTCTCTCTTTTTTTTGTTGTTGTGCCATTTCAATTCCTTGACCTTTTTTTTAAGGGGGAGCTCGTTGTTTACTTAACAGAGAGGCTGGAGATAGCTGCTTTCATGGGGGCTGAGTCATTTAACAGTGTCACTAAGGACCAGATGATTTCTCCCCTCTGCTCTGGAATGCTTAGCATGATGAGTGTGTATCCTTCTGCTGGTGAGCTCACTATGGCAAGGTGGATGCCAAGGCCGCACATTCAAAGGCAGGCAGTGTGGGAGTCAGAACAAAAGGTTTTCTCCCCGTCAGGCTCTAACCTCTTGTCCAGAAAGCCACATTCTCCTCAGCAACTTCCTAGCTGGCTTTTCCTCACATCTCAACATCCAGGGGCCACTTTTAGCTCTAGTAGGGCAGGACAGTGGGATGGCTAGGAAAGTGGGTATAGGGGTCCGGGGGTGCCATGACTGGCTTCGACCAGTCATCATCAATCCCTCGGGGCTAGGTGTACCCAGACAAAACTGTGATCCTGTTAGCAAGGAAGGATGGGGGTCATAGCCAACCAACAATATCTGAACACACATTTTTATTTAGAAGGAGAGAAAATATTTTCAATTTTTGAATATATGTGGGCTGAATAGTTTTGACTATTTTGAGCTTGATTCCTCCTGTCCTGTTCTGTTTCTGTTTTTATTTAACATGCTCAGTGATGTGTTCTGTGGGTTTTTACTCTGTACCAATCTTACTCGAGCTCCACGTATTGGTCAACTCCAGGGTGAGATCATCCCAACTTCCTTCTATCATCAAGGCCGAGTGATTGACTGCAGGTAATATATTAAATGTTTGAAAATCTAATGAATCACAAGAACTACAAATTCAGAAAAATCAAGCGAAATTTTTCTGTTTCTCACAAGAGGAATGTTGACTTTGATTTTATGATCTCCTTTCATGTTTAGAGTTATTTTAAAAAAACAAAGTTGTGGGGCACCTGGGTGGCTCAATCGTTAAGCGTCTGCCTTCGGCTCGGGTCATGATCCCAGGGTCCTGGAATCGAGCCCCGCATCGGGCCCCCTGCTCAGCGGGAAGCCTGCTTCTCCCTCTCCCACTCCCCCTGCTTGTGTTCCCTCTCTCGCTGTGTCTCTCTCTGTCAAAACAAACAAGAAAACACACACACACAAAACAATTGTATATTGATTTGCAAATTACATCTGCTCAAAAATCAGACCACTTATTAGTAATGGACACTCTTTGTAATGATGATCATTGAGTAGGCTTACAGTATCCATTCTGACCCATGATTAAAGCTATGAGCATTGGAATAGGTTACTCTTTGAACACTATGTGTTTTATTTTTTATGACCAAAAAAAAAAGAGTTTAAGCTTTACGTTTTATAACATATTTCTGGCTTAGAAGATGATTTAATAGTCAATCACATACAGAACGTATTTATTAAAATATTATTTATACTGTAGGCAAGCATTTGGCGTCCAATTATCTGTGAGTACGAGGCACAGAGACTATGAGGCTTATTTTTTAAACTAGGGAGTCATGTTATATTCCAAATAAGTATTGTTCCTTTCAAAGTAGTCATAATTCTAAGATGCTGTGCTTTCATTCAAATGGTACTGTTGTTGCCCGAAACACTTCTGGGATTCTTTTACAGAATTGTCATTAGCATCTGCAAACTTTTATATGTAGTATCCTTAGAGTAGCAGACCTTCATCTTATGTGAGTGAATATGAGATTTGGAAACATGCAAAAATTTTTTGAACAAAATTTAGGAAATTTATTGAGTAAAGTTGAATAATGTTCTCTTGGTCAAATGATTGCTGTATTTTTCTTTTATTTTTTTTAAAAAGACTTATTTATTCATTTGAAAGATAGAGAGCACGCACATTGGGGGAGGGGCAGAGGGAGAGAATCTTCAAGCAGATTCCCCACTGAGCACGGAGCCAGTTGATGCCAGGCTCAGTCTCACAACCCATGAGATCATGAGCTGAGCTGAAACCAAGAGTCAGACACTTAACCAACTGAGCCACCCAGGATCCCCTGTGTTTTTCTTTTAAATTGTTCTGAAGACAATTCTAACTGGTCTTAGACAGGAAGACCCTTCCTGGAATAAATGACATTTTTTTCTTGATGGCATGCAATGTAATAATGACAATGAAAGGTATTTCCTGTCAATGTGCTCTTTTATTTTGGGAAAGTAGGGAAAAGGGAAAGGAACGGAGAAGTGGAGAAATGCTACGAGCCATCCATGTCCGCTGACATCCTCTTAGTTTCATGAAGAGCAAGCCTCATTCATGTTGACTTTTCTTTCTAACTATGGTGCTAATGGTTGTATGAATATCTTTCTCCTTTTAGTGGTGCTCATGTGATTTTAGATGATGATACAGATGTGGGCTATGTAGAAGATGGAACGCCATGTGGCCCATCCATGATGTGTTTAGATCGGAAGTGCCTACAGATTCAGGCCCTAAATATGAGTAGCTGCCCACTTGATTCCAAGGGTAAAGTCTGTTCAGGCCATGGGGTAAGTAAGCATCTGTGTTCCGGTTCAAACCTTTATTGTTTGGCATCCTCAAAGTTCACAGTGGTCAGACTTTCATGCCAGCCTTTCCTTTTGTGAGTGTTGCCAGTATTTATGCCCTGACTATGATGATTTCCTTAGTATCCTTATCTGCTAAGGATAATACCCATATGTATTGGTATGGTTTTATTTATTTATTTATTTTTTTATCACTGGCTATTGTATCCACCATGTTGTCTGTAGCTTGACATCTAAAGAGTTGGAAGAAAATTGATATGGTTCCTAAAAGAGTTATAGAACCCCCCGTGCATTACTTTGTACCAATCAAAATAACTTTAGTCCTCTCGGTAGTTCCGTTTTAGCTACTCAGCATGTATACTGAGCATCCGTATGTGCCAGATCACATAGACTAGGGGTTGGATCACTGATAGAATTCACATGTCTCAAGTCGTATGGTTATGCTCAGACCATTGCTGTGAGTAGAGATACTCACACCTGCATGTATTTGTAATTCTATGAACTACATTTCTAGTTGAGTGAATTACATTTGTAATTCTATGAAGTGGTGGGGCAGACGCTTCCTGGTAAACCTAGGCTTAATATCTAGAAACAAATTTTAATAATTATTTAAATTGGCTTATTAAAGGAAAGATATTTCAAAAATTTATACAGACTTTAGAAACGGAAAAAAAGAGACATGGGGAAATTGAGAGTGATAATGTAAAAGGAGGATGCTGGAGTGAAGGTAAACCTAATTCAGAATGTAGCGAGCAGATGATGTGGAGTAGAACAAGGTAGAGAGGCCTAAGAAAGACACGCCCAGTGACTATTTAGAGTTTTGGGTTTGGTTGAATCCTAGGCTTATAGGCGGAGCCAGTATAGCTTAGTGATTTAGAGCATGGATTTGGAGGCTAGAAAGAGCCATGGGTTTGAGTCCTGGCTCTGCTTCTTGCTCTCCTGGTGACTTTGGATAAGTCACTTACCCTCTCTCAGCCCCCAGGCTGCTAGTGTGAGGATTAAGTTAGATGCTTTACATAAAGCACTCGGCACAGTCAATGTGCGATAATCACTATGTTAAAATAAAAACACCGGACAGACCTTTCAGTTATTGCTCTGAAAACATCATAAAACTTAACGCCTACAAAGGACCTTCATTCCTACTACCCCTCCCACTTTTTCATCCTGTTAAATAAAAGGTCAAATTTAGTGTCGTTAATTGTAATCGTGATATTATAACATTTCAGATTAAAAAGCTTCTTGCAGCAATAAGCTTGTATTCAATTTATCATCTCTAATGATCGGTCTCTGAATGTATTTCACAGGCAGATAAGAGTTTAAACACCTCTGTCTCTGGTTTGCAGATGGTGGTTTATTTCATATAAACTACAAGCCCTTTCCAGCATGCTGCTTGGTCTCCAGGACAAGCAAAAGGAGAGAAACATCATGCTAGGGGGTCTTTAGCCTGGCTGACTAAGAGAAGGGGAGGTGGGCGGGGTGCTCTTTGGTCTGGGACAATGCTACCAAACAAAAGTGATATTGGACATGGTGAGGTAAAACAGTGCATTGGTGATTTATGTCTTCTGGTCTTTAATCATTGGCCTTGCCACTGGAGCCCAGTATCTATTAATTTCTTAAATTAAGCATGTTTCTAAAGTATGTTCCTTAGAAACAACTACTTCTGAAAAAACTACATCGTCAGACATTTGTGCACTTAAGTAATTTTTTCAACATAAAGAACACTTAATTAAACATTTTCTTTTTTTAATGGATCTCTCTCTCTAATTAACAAGAAAACACCAACAATTTAATGTATCATTGTCTTTCCTTGTCAACCATGGGAGACCTAAAAAATTCAAAGAGGTTTTTAAAAGTTTCCGCCCTGCCCCGTGTCTCTTTTACATTTATCTCCATTATTCAGAAAAGCACAGTGAAAATGTGCCATCTCTGTTCTTTGTTCTTCACAGGTGTGTAGTAATGAAGCCACCTGCATCTGTGATTTCACCTGGGCAGGGACAGATTGCAGCATCCGGGATCCAGTTAGGAACCTTCACCCCCCTAAGGATGAAGGACCCAAGGGTTTGTGTGATTTCAGTTTCAATTCATTACATACTGAGTTTGTTGGTACTCTTTCAGTGCTGCCAATATAAGAACTTAATAGGTTTGAAAGGAGACACATCAGAATATCTTTTTTTGTCATTCAAATATATAATTCATGTTACTGCAGAATTAAGGATTCTAGAATGACGTATTGAAAGAAAAATGTTTGAATTTCCCCTTAGTTTGGAACTGAGGTTAGGAAGAAGTAAATACACCAGTTTCCTTCCTTCCAGTTTCCTTTCTTTCCTTTAAACTTTCTTTTTCCATAATCACATATGTTAATCATTTTATAGTTTGTCTGCGCTATGCCAGTTTTCTAATAGACAATCTTTTTGCCTGACATGAGACTCTAGTCGTTCCTCAATATTTGAGTCCTGCCAGAGGGGGATGGCAGTCTTCTATGCTCTGTTCAAACACACTTTTGATTAGGAAGAAGTTGAAAATCTTCACAGAACTTTAATTCTTCAGAGAGAACATGAACAATCTGGACTTTGTTTTAATCAGCCATCAGATGGAGAGAAATTAGAATTTTATTTTATTTTTTTATTTTTAAAAAAGATTTTATTTATTTATGTATTTATTTATGTATTTTTTTAATTTAGGGAGAGTGAGCAGAGGGAGGGGCAGAGGGGGAGAGAGACTCTCAAGCAGACTTTGTGCTGAGCATGAAGCCCGACTCAGGGCTCAATCCCATGACCTTGAGATCATGACCTGAGCTGGAATCAAGAGTCAGATGCTCAGCCAACTGAGCCACCCAGGCACCCCTAGAATTTTAGAATTAGAAGGAGTCTCAATGGCCATCTAGAACCACCCTCGTTTTGCAGATGAGAACACCCAGGCCTTGAAATCAGGTGACATCCTCTAGTAACCCAGGTAACCAGATACAGGGCTGGGACCAGGACCCAAGTGCCAAGTCTCAGGCCCATTGTCTTCCATTACATTGGGTTATAATGTAGTCTTTGGCATCATGAACACGGTAATCACTTTCTCATTATTCCCCCCATTCCCAAGCCCTCATACAATTTTCAAAGATCTAAAAAAGGCATCAGTTGCAATAGACTTCCTATAGCATCTATATATAGCATTGTACCTGAGAAACCGGAGTTACTAGAACAAAGGGTGGATCCCACTGACATCATACATCAGCTTCTTCCTTTTCATGGTACCACTAATGGTATTTTATAAATAATTACCATGGTTTTTTTCCCCTGCAGGTAGGAAAAATACGTATAGAAATAGTATCATTTTGATCTGCTTTGTTTTGCATGAAAGCTCATTTAAAATCTCTGAACCAGCATTGTCCATATGGGAAAATACGACTTCAAAAATGTATGAAGCTCCATGGTCCTCAATTCCTGAAGAGAATTAGCTGGTCTGGATGCATGTGTAATGTTCAGTAATGGTGGGTGTGTTTAACACTCTCCATGCATTTGCGGAATATGGCCATGAAATTAAATTCTGTAAGAATCATAGTCACGCCCTCACAGTCTATTTCTGTTCTCCTTCTCCTATTTGTAAAAAGGAACCAGTTCCACTTTTACATTTAGTCTTTAGTTACCTTAAAACTGGAACAAAAAATTCTTGGATCCACCTTCAGAAGTTAGATTTAGAGCAGATTTAAAGCTCTTACAAGGGAAGCAGACATTCACGCTTTCCAGATTTTCTCTCCATGGCATGTTAGTTTCTCTTCATTCTCCTAAAGATCTACATGCTGTCTCTTCAAGTGATGTATAAAGATGCCTGAAGAGATGAGCAGAGCTCAATTTGGCTTAGCCTCTGTCCTTTTTCATTAGGTGGGGTGGGGGGGATTGTCAGGTGTCTGCTTCTGTCTGTTCCCCATCCCCTCGCCCACCCATGCCTAGAAAGCTTAGTTGGAGGCATAAGCAGCTGCATTCTGGAGAAGAGGAGATTCGCGGCTGCCTTCCGTCTTATTTTCCTTGTTCCCGTGGTGCTATTCTGTATTATCTTTTAAAAATAACTTTTATGACCATTCAAGTAATACATGTTATTGTAGAGAATTTTGAAAATACAGAAAAGATTAAAAAGGAAATAAAAATCATGCTTAATTCCACAACTCAGAGGTAATCCATATACACATCCTGGTATGTTTCTTTTCTGTTGCATGTTTTCTTTTTTCATTTTTAACAAAGACAATGGAGTCACTAAAGTAAAGGTACCCACTGGTTCTAAAACTGTTAAAATCCTCGTGACTCCAGTAATCTTGATTAAATTGGAAAAAGCCATTAATTACTACAAATGTAGAGCAGTCATTATTGTAAATTATTAGATTTCCAGAAAAGGCAAGTAATTTTAGTATGACTAAATAATAGCTCTGTCTATAATGGTTATTAATATCTTTCCAGCCTCTATAGAAAACTCTGTTAATACACTAGTAAAATGAGAAAACAACAGAAATCAAAGTTTAACGCCTTGTAGTGAGTTTCGTGATTTTATTTTTGATACTCTGCTTAAAAGAAAATGGTAAGAGAGAAACTCTGGACTTTATCTCGAAACTCTGGACTTTATGTCTAATTTTATCCAGATAGCAAATATTTATTGACTGTCTACAATCAAGTGACCGCATATCCTTGGCATACTGTAGGCACTTAATAAGTATTACATCCTTTCCCATTGGGAACATGTGAAGGAAATAAAATGGTGCATGTTAGTGCTGATTTTCAGTTTATCAGTAATCATTTGTTGTATTGCCTTGTTGAAGAGGAGCAGGTCGTGAACTCCAGACATTGAAACAGTCTGTACTTTCTTGACTGTAAGTTCAGCTGCTTGTGAGGTGCCTCGGGTTTCCTCTAACTGCCATATATTCTTTCTCTTAAACGAATTAGTTTGGTTGACCCTGGCCTTACCGATCACAGTGGGTGCTTCTCAGTTGCTTGCCATATATAATGGGCAACACCCAAATGATCTGGCCTGTCCTACCCATAGAGGAAGGTTTTCTGTGTAGATACAGTGACAGCATATTAAAAAATACTTAGTTTTATTTAATTTCAGTGTGCTTTCTTGTTAGGGAGAAAAAAAATTCAAAAAGAAAATGGAAAATATTGCCTTTTTTTATTCCAAACGTGGGCATAAAAGATAAATTGTATCCAACTGCAGGCCTCTGGCTCAAAGCCTAATTAGTAAGAATCAAGGAGAACTCTGTGACTTTGGTTCAGTTGATTTGGGGGCATCAGAAATGAGCCAGTGTGGTTTGGAAATTTTAATTTAACAGTAAGTTTCTGGAAGAATAAAAATTCAACCTCTCCATCTGGGTAGGGACAAAAAAAAAAAAAGCACACATAAAAATATTGCCATTGGAGTCACTGTGCACTTGTTGACCCACAGTTTTAAAGCACATTGGTTTATTTGCTCCAACCTCTCAAACCAAAATTATTAAAAGACAGGAAATAGCATTTCAAAGCAAAAGCCATGTGAGCAGGGATTTTTTTAAAAAAGATTTTCTATTACATATTACTTCACTCATGTTCTCCACGTTGCCATTTATTTCACATATGAAGACTCTTCTGGTCCCTCTTCTCCCAACATGTGTCCACTGAATTCATGGGGAGAAATTACTTTGGTTTATCCTCATGGGGTAGAATAAGTTTGCGCCCTTTAAAAGGACTGGAACTCCCACCTGCTACAGGAAGAGCCAGTAGAAATTCTGGTAATTTTTGACAATTTGTGGGCATCTTTGCACCATGCTTATTATGCAACACAATGGAACGTCTCTCATTGGATGGTGTGCATCACCATTACAGGAGGGAAGAGAAGAAACTGGAACATATCACATGTTTTCATTGATAAGGAAGGGCAGAGACTATTCTGGGAGCTTTGGTCAGCCCCTCTCATTATGTCCATCGTCATCAAATCAGAGATAGAAGGACCTTAGTGGCCATTCAGTCCAGACCCATTGCTCTGCAAATGAGAAAACGAACTTAATTATCCAGGTTAACTGCTAGATAGGGACAGAGCCAAGAATCAAACGGATCACCTGATCTTGAGCCAAATGCTTTTTCTGTTATTGTGCACTGCCTCATTTAAAGCTGAGTATTCAGTAATTCTGCTGGTTCTCAGTGAAACCAGGGGTGAAACAGTAATCAGGTAATGATTAAGCTGGTTAGCTGATCCATTACTTGCCAAGGGAGTATTATATTATTAGCACTTAATATTTTGAAAACAATAATTTCTAAGCCTTAGTACCTTGAGGGATATTATTTAGTGTTTCCATGTAGTTTATCTTGTTGATAACTTCCTTTGTGAATGCACAAATCTTTGATTTTGTAGTTCAGATGATTAGATATTATGATTACCATATATATTTATGCTCATGTATAATTATGTATCACCTACGTATTTTTCTCCTTTTAATAATGGCCTCATTAATAACTTAAGGATTTACCAGGTTTAAAATTTTTTTGGTAACTGAGTTTATTTTGTTTGAGTTCAGAAAAACTCCATGATATTTTCATTGACAGTGTAAACTGACTGAAATAGTATTCTTATATGAAATAACTTGTTTCTCATCTTTTTTAGACATTTGTCCCAATGTATCTGAAAATGAACTTGAATTTATTTTTTAATTTCATGGAAAAGAGTAAGGAGATCTGATTGTGTGTCTAACATTGAAATATGGAGCTGTGCCAGTATTATACTCTAAAGAGTATATTTAGTATTTATTTCTAATCTTAAATTTTAGCAAAATCATAAATCCCTGCAGAAAGAACTTTGGCTTATAGAGTACAAACGATGGCTTTGATGCTTCCTGCCTTTGAAGTATTAAGAGATGCAGGATTATAGTCCCTTTGGCTCATTAGAATCACATGGACGATTTTTTTTTTGAAAAAAAAACCCAACTACTCAGTTTCAAAAGCACAATTTCACGCTATCTGAAGCATGACTTGTCTGTGGAAGAATTCTACATGTAAAGTAGAAAGTCTTACGAAAAGGAGGAAAGTTATAGTTTGTATCTTAATATTACA